CTGAGCGAGTCTAATGACGAGCGTTACTTGTTGTTATCAGCGGAATCAAATCGTGGAAAATAATTCTAGTAAGAGAGAATATGAATGCGCATCAATTAAGCAATAAAATAGATTTTCAGGCAAACTATACGAGCAATATGTATTTCAGCAAAAGAAAACCGATGCTGAAGAACTGGAACAATGTGCTTTCATTCGTTTCATAATTTATTGCAGAAAGCACAGAGTAAAATCCTATGGAACGATATAACATATACCACGCATTACATAAAATACTATCCTCCACAACCAAATAATAAATCGAATACTATTTTTGCTCTTCGTTGTAAATGCTCGCATATGTATGTCATGGTTATTGTAGTGTTAGAAACTAATCGGCAGTTATCTGTTAACAGAACTACGGGTTTTTAAAGTAAGATATTACAGCGTTCTCGTAGATTTGATGATTGTCTTTAAAGCCATTTGTTTGGGCATATCGAAAAGCGGCTTAGCTTTTCCAATAAGCTAAACGCCTTATTTCCGAAGAGAAGCGATAGCACTTGTTTTTTCGAAGATTTTTCACGTTTTCTTATATACTAAAATGTCATGGAGTAATTAATTCATCAAAATGAATTCGCAACAAATTGTTAGAGTGCCTCGGCGAGGAAGTTGGCATTCTATTTATGTAAAAGGTGCTGAGTGTTCTAACTCACTCTTCAACACAAAAAAAACAGATATATATTGTAGGAGTGGCAATTTAACTTATCTTTAAGTGTTCAAGTTAACGTCACCCTTACGGTAAACCGTAGCTCAATTTTATATTTTGTGACTTCAAAACGAAATAAAAGATCATGGGACTGGTTTTTCATGTTGACAAACGATCATTTTTTCTTGTTTCTTTTATCTATCATCGAATAAGACTTGGGAAGAATGAAACGAACACGCTGAGAGATGCTGCGTGAAGCTCTCAGCAAACTACATCGTGAAACTTATTCGAATCTTGTGTTTCATTTACTAAAAGACGTGAAATGGTGCAAAACAATCAGTGAAAACTGACTTGGTGGCATTTATGATTGTTGAAAACAAAATTTACATAATGAAAATAAGTCTCTAATGTAAGCTGTAGAGTTTTTTTTATCTTCCACTATACCTTTTAGCTAAAAAAATTGATTTAGAGGTGTCAATTTCCTTTGAAGAAAATCGAACAGACTTGCAAAGGAGTCAAAGGCATAAAAAATTTTCTACTTTTAATTCTTGAAACGTCTATTTTAAATGTCAAAACAGAATTCAATCAACATGCGTATTTTAACGCCATCTTTCTGCACACCCCAACAATTCGTAACTGTTGAAAAGATTACACGTCATTTGTTTTCGTCAAAAACATATGTAAATACATCACCACCATGGGTTACTACTGATAACGAACAAAATCAAAAATTTTTCATCGCTTTCAGTCTCTACGGTACACGGTTTGCTGCACGATTGAAATTCAACATGCACACATTTTCCATATTACCCGTCGAACTTGTTTATCGAATTATGGATCATCAAAATGAGCAGACCCTATTTTGTTCAATGCAAAATGTGTCCCGGCGGCTCAATCAGATCCTGAGCACCTATGAGCGATATCGAGTAAGTTTACTTGGCATCTTAACACTCTTGTCGGTTGCGCTACACATAAGCCTAATTATATTTGACATCGCAAATTTCCTCATAGGAAGAGGTAAAATAATCTCATAATCCACAAATAATTTGATCGAATCACACGATCACAGTGTGAAATAATCAAATCAAGCATTCCTCCACTCTCTCGCCTTTCTACTATGTATGTTGAACTGTTCCACACAAGAGTGCATCAACTATCATTTTTCATGAAACCTCCCAAATGAAGCAAGCTGATCTCCACAATTTCAGGGTCTATGCCTATATTCATTCTCACCATCACCCACACAAAATCCAACACCCACATATCACAAGAGTAGGATTTCAATTTCATCGGAGGGCACCCTCAAAACAGATATCTAGCTGCAATCAATAGCTATTCATAGTTATATCCGACTCTCTCCACTCGATCAGCTCACGGTAATCTCTTGTCCATATTGCCAGCACAGCACTTCTTCTCTGAACGCAGTCTTTCCTGCGCAACAACTACAATCATCATCCACACCAAAAAACTAACATCTAGATCCAACTGCTCGCTAAAAATCATCCCCACACATCACTATTTCATATCACACATATACAATCAGATCTGTCATCAAAGGTTCTCTTTTGCTACTTGTCCTTTTCATCATATATTGCTTTCATGTAGACACTCACCACACTACGCTTCACTCGGAACACAATCGGTGCTGGAGGAGTACAACACATTGCGGATGCGTTGCGAACGAACACGGTAATATTGATCTCATTTCACGGAAGGTGAAGTACTCAGTCTCTTTCCTACAGACACTCACCACACTAAACCTCAATGGGAACGGAATCGGTCCTGAAGGAGCACAACACATTGCGGACGGGTTGCGAACGAACACGGTAATACTGATCTCATTTCACGGAAGGTCAAGTACTCAGTCTCTCTCACACCTACAGACACTCACCGCACTAAACCTCAGTTGGAACGGAATCGGTCCTGAAGGAGCACAACACATTGCCGACGGGTTGCGAAGGAACACGGTAATACTGATCTCATTTCACGGAAAGTGAAGTACTGAGTCTCTCTCACATCTACAGACACTCACCACAGTAGACCTCTGCGGCAACGTAATCGGTGATAAAGGAGCACAACACATTGCGGATGCGTTGCAAACGAACACCGTAATACTGATCTCATTTCACAGAAGGTGAAGTACTCAGTCTCGCTCACTCTTACAGACACTCACCGCACTAAACCTCAATGGGAACGAAATCGGTGCTGAAGCAGCAAAGCACATTGCGGACGCGTTGCGTAGGAATGCAGTAAGACTGATGCGTTGCTGGAAGAAATTTGGAATATCTGATTTATCTAATTGTTAGAGTGTGAATATGGTATAGATAGTGCGCTCAATGGGATGGAAGAACAAGTGATAGTGGATCTGGTGACTCTTTTCGTAGAAAAGATGCTTTTCGATTGAGAACTTAGTCGATATCATTTGGTGTATGATTTTGGTGGCATTGATAGGAAGTGGATGAATAAAAAATGAATTGTGTTGCGAGAAGAGGATGCGACCTTAATGAGAATGCTTTTTGTTGTGGGAAAATGTATGTGGATTAGTGGAAGTGAGTGCTTTAGTTGCGTAGTTGTAACAGAACAGTGTTTGATGGAAGAGGTGCCATGGCACGATCCGTATATGAGAGGTTCTCTTGGATTGGAATTTCTTACTGAAAGTGTGGGATTGACAAGACAACATTACTGCAGACTGCTCGACTATATTGGAGATATTGCAGAATTGAATTGACAGGAGTACCACACGTACGCATTTTACATGTCAGTTCTCGTAGAGGCAAAGTGAGCAGACCAAGGTAAATTGAATGGGAGCGATGTTTCATTGCTATCTAACTGTTTTATGTTTGATTCCAAATCCTAAATGTATTGCGAGCTTGATAATGAAGTGTTATGTTTGTTTGTAGTTTGTTTTTGGAGAGGATAGTATGTATCCGTTATCTATGAATTCTGTGGTGCATTGGAAAGAAACAGTGTATTATGAAGTGACTAAAATGGCACAGTGAAGAGAGAATGGTCAAAAGTAGCGCACGAAATCTCGCTGTTAGACTAATCGTTTGTCACGATCAGCGTAGTCTGAGAAGAAGTTATTTTATCATTATGATCAGCTCCATGCACTCTCAGTGTTGATCCATAGGAAAATATCAGAGAAGTATTTGTTGCAACATTTTATCGCGGAAAAGCACTGGAATATACTCTCGAACTTGTTTGTGTATTATTCTGATAACAGGGTTTTTGGTTTATGGTTTGCTTACGTGAAAAATCTCTATACTGCTTGAAACTATAGCAAATTTGAGGCCGTAAGAAAAGCGGAGGATAACCAGTTTGATAAATTTTCTCAGTCAGATTCGGGCTGGCACATTTAATATCTGATGATAGGCACCTATTGTACCATTGCTCTAAAATCTATCTTTCGAATGATGACAAAACTGAAACCAGTTAGTTGTGCATCATTCAACATTATCGCCTGTGCGCTAAGATGTTACATATATATTCATAGCGTTCCTTAACATTACACTGTAAGAGAACGTACATCTCGTTTGATTTGTACCTGTCTTTGAGTTCTCTGTACATATCGGTGATTGAAAACTCGCACGAGATGATGACCATTAAACAGAAGTGGATTTTAGCTATCTGGAGCCACCCCAGACTGATTTCCTACATATAGTATTACTACATTTTGAGGTGTATCTGAAATGGTATGTATATAGCCCGCCTTTTTGCAAGGGGTTAACACTAGTTAGTCAAAGTACACTCATATAAATCGAGTGGACTGAAAGTATGCAAAATGTCATAATCTAAGTACAAATAATTTTACTTTCAATCAAGATATTTGTGCACATTTAGTCTCCATTTGTTTATCAATACAGCATCCTCAACGAATACAACTGTTTAGTAATAGTCTGTACGTGATGTAGATAAAAAGTAGAATTTACAACAACCAGCACTGGTATCCACGAAATCCGATATAATGCTATCGACGGAATTTGTATATACGGATATATGAAACAGTCAAAGATGAGCGTACCCGTAGTCAAAGAAAGAAGATATGTGCATTTTGTTTTCAGTAAATAAAATCACGCCGTGCAACATTGGAACTTTTTAGCTGAGTATACAGTCACTTTTTATTGTCATTGTTAAAATGAGGTAAACATGCTTAAATTAATTAATTCTCTTTACTTTTCAGAAGTTGCAGAAGCTTCTCGCAACACGCAGAAAAATACTCTCCTATGTTTGTTCCGAATAGAGCGCTCACGCTCAAAAGCATCAGCGTCTGACGGTAAATCTTGTTGAATTTTCAGTTTGGATCTAATATTTCCAACAAAAGCGAAGACCAAGTTCAGGATAACGAATACGTGCACAATGAAACTTATTTCAATATACATATGTAATTTATAAGTAAAGCCCGCCAATTGAACTCCCTGATCTGATATTAAAATGGTAGAACTATATCTTTCAGCATACTTGAAACGCCATAGAGACTTGTTTTACTTCATAAACCAAAACACTTGTCTATTTGTAAAAAGCTGTTGTTGTCTAGCCGATTATAATGATCTATCCACAATATCCGCCGTTTTTCTATTCCTATTCGAATTCAATGAATATGTTTAGCTTTATACCATGTTTAACACCAATGACATCCTACTGTACGTCACATAATGTTCGTTTTTTCAGCATAGAAGACCAAGGAGTTTACGCATACTTATAATGGATCGGAAAGATTTAATTTCAAATAGACTACATATCGACTAAGATTTAAGAAAAAAGGTGCACCAGAAGAAATTGACGTCAAGTTGGAGGTTCTCAATCTTAATTAGGCTTTAGCGGATGGTTGCTCAGAGCGTGTACACTCAATCAGATTCGATGGGAATTCGACAGGATCTGAAAGCCGGATTACTCGTTGCAGTGGCGCAACCAGCGGAGAGGCATATGAACAATTGCCCATTCCATTTTGAGTTTTGCCCACTCAAATTTTATTTCTTAAAATTGATATATTCTCTTTCTCGTAGAGAAGAGTCTTAGAAATAGAAATTATTTGCTTGCTTGCTTGCTTGTATGTCCGCAGGGCTAAAAAAACGTCGAAAATCGATTTTTCCGAAAAGACATTTCCAGAGTTATTTTGATGCGGAGCCTTCGAATCTGGTGTTTTTTTTAAAATTTTTATAAAAAACTTTTTAGACAAAGAACCACTTTTTCTTTACAAAAAAAGTTTGTTTTATAAAGACTGCCGAAAGGGATTTAAAGATCGAAGAATCCGAACTTGATATTAGTTTTTTGAGACCTTTAGAAAAAAATTTTTTTCATGAAATTTGACCAAAGGGTTTTCTGTGTCGGGGAATTCAAATCTGATGTTACTTTTTTCAGAATTAAAAGAAACTTTTTCAAACCAAGGATACCGATTTTCAAAAAAGCATTTATAACTTGTATACAAGTTCGACCATCTCTTGCTCAAGACGCTGAACTGAAACGTCTAAATGAATTTGACGAAAAGATAAAACGAGAATGTATGTACCTCTTCCGCTTTTGAACGTGTATAAATCAATACACTGTTAAGAGTTTAGTGTTATTACAAGCATATAAAATGTATTATCATTTTTCAAATTATCTTAAAATAATTATTTGTATATGTTCATTTTTTTACCTCTTTCTTTGCAATTATCTTAATTATTGTAGTAATCGTTTCTTGTCTCTCATTGTAGCAGATGTTTCCTATTGTGTTTTCTTATTTTCTTTTTTCATGTAATAACTCACCTCAATTTGATATTTGGTATAAATATCAAATCTACACTGAAATGAAAGCGCGATTTCTACGAGAAAGAGCTGAGCGAGTCGCTAGACGAGCGTTACTTGTTAATTTTAACAAATCAAATGACGCTTAAAATTTCGTCGCGCGTGATGTGAAATCTCAAATCTTTTGCTACTTCGCTTACATGAAAATTTTTTAGAAAGAAATAGTGTTAACGTTACAATCAAGAGTTTTTTCCAAACCACAAACAGACGGCAGCGTCATCTGGTTTTACTCTCTTATGTAATTGATCGGTGACGATCGGACTATCCATAAAGTTTAGCCGCAACAATGAACGATAGTATTAAATTATTTTAATCCATTTTATTCGAGATAAGCATGAGCGATGCTGAAAATGCAATGTAAGTAATATCTCAATGACTTCTAATATTCAAATACATATAAATAATCTCGTTGTTTTCTAGAAAAAAAAACCTAAATCTATTTGATGCAATATTTATAAAGCAGATTGTCGTTCAAAATTCCTGAAATTATTGCAGCAGGCCTACGAACTAAACATAGCTCGTCTTTGTGGTGAACACGACATAAATGCCGCTCGATTTTTTATTAAATTGGATGACCTTTCAGAAATTCTATCCAAAAGAGAACTCTTAAGTTGTTCAAGTCAATATTGAACAACTGAGCGAACAAATGAAAGAAATTCAAACTCGAATATGTCATACTGGAAAACGACCATTTACTACAGCTTACTAAGACCATAATCAGTTGAACGAATTGAATGTAATGAATTCTTTTCACCCAGGTCGATCGTTCCGGCGACTGGATTCAGCAGATTCCGGCCGGAATCCGGAGGTAAGGAAATCGTCGGAAAAAAAACTTAACCGACTAGAACCGACCAGGCCGCAATGACCTAGGTACATGATGAAAACAGTTTGTCCTCATCATCAAGTGCAACTGATCAAGCATCAAAAAGAAAAAGAGCAAATGTTAGACAAAAGGTGAATGAAACGTACAATACATACAATTGATATGCTCATGTTCTTTGTCTGTTTAGATCAGTCATAGGAACGAATCAACTAGAAGTATGACACAATGTATCCAGTCGCCGGAATGATCGGCCTGGGTATACTACTTCAGATTCAGAGAACATACTTGTTCTTTTCTTTGGATGACGAATCCTTTTCTAGTAGTGTATACAATCAATGGTCGTCAATATTAGTCAAAGAACTAAATGAAGAAGAACAACTTGAGCATGATACAATTGCAGCAATACGAATAGACCATTTTCTCATGAAATATCGTGGCATTCAAGCAGGTAAAATGTTTTGTAGCAAAATTAAGTATAATTCTGTCTTTTTTTAACTTTTAGTTGACACTACAAAGACTAAAATTTTACTAATACACAGTCTCAAGAGTCACGAAGAACATCTATATGAGATGATGATGTACTTGCGTAATAAACATGGCAATCGATTAATGGGAAAATATAGATCGAAACAATCTAGTCATTTCGTTAACAAAACTCTCGCAAGATGTTGTAAGTAACACATATTTCCTGGTCAATACGTGTATATTCAGTTCGATATTTTACTTACAGAAACCAGTCGGTTACCGTCGTTGATAAAATTCCATTGTGGTTGCTAATTGATTTCTTTTTTTCGTTCTATGTATAGTAATACAATCAACTACAAAAGATATTCTTAGATTTAATCGGTATTCTCGATAATATAAACTTAATCCTGATTTAATAAAATAATTAAAACGTTTAGTAATAAAATTTCGTTTACATATAGTCAACCAAACATTGATCCCTTCTAATGAGACAAAATCTCTGACTTAATATTGGAGACATATCTCTTAAATAAAATTCATTATTTGGGAGTAGTTTGTGTTCGTTTGATTCTAATTTGAGCAATATAGAAAATCTTATTTAAATAAATCAAACAACAAGCACCGATATGAGATAAATGTAGTTACAGGTGCAATGATGAATGCATCCACGTATCACATATCTTTGAATGAACACATAATGACAATAAGATAAAGTAAAATATCCAATAGTTTCTATCGATGACTATTTTTTCGATGTTTCAATGAATTGGAAATAGAGAATATTTTTTTCGATTTTATCAAAGAAATTTTTCCGAAACTTGACGAGAATTCAATCTGGTCGCAAACAAGATTGTTCCTCAATTGAACATTCGAGGGTTTCACTCTGATGCCATTTCCGTTGTTTTCTCCCACATGTTCAAGCATATTATTCCACAAGGGCAATGCTGCACGTGAATATAATATCGAAATTAAAAATGAATCATCATCAGCAGGCGCATGAGTTCAGTGTTCATAATATTTTATTAATAAAAATCGAGATTATCAAGATCGATATTCTATGCGTGGCATTCATGTAGAAAAAAATTCATCAACTATATTAAAAAAAACACAGAGAATCACAGAAAGTTTTGTGGTAGAAAATCTGTCTAATTATCATATGCCCACTTGTGGCACTCACATGAACATGGACCAAATGCATCCATGAAACCGGGCCCGAATCGGTCTTGATAGAAATGGCAACCGCGACAATCATTACAATTGAGCTTATCGTTCGAGGATTGTGATGCATCCGAATCGGATATCCTATGATGTTCTGAAAGAAACAGATTCTTTCATAATTACCTGGAAAGCGTTGCCAAATACTTACTTCGCCTAGAACGATCACTGTGACTACGTGGTGATCGACTTCGTCGATATGGAGATCTATCGGGTGAATCGTCCAAGTGTCGCGATGATTTCTTTCGTTTTTTCGATGATTTCTCCGACGACTTGTTTTTCGCGGCTATTTTATCCACTGGCACAATTGATGTATTTTCAGCCTGTACGGTTGAATTTTTATCCGATGATTCGTTTGGCGAGACGTCAGGTCGAAGAATACATTGATCATCGATAGTCAATGGAGGAAGTGTCAGTTGAATGTGCTCCAGTTTATCCAAATGCTGTTCGATCACATGCATATTCTCAGAAAATTCATCGAAATCCTGCTGTATACCACCCTTCGTTCGTATCAATTCTTTCAATTTATTATGCATCTCATTTAATTGCTCTCGTTGCTTATCGGTTGTTTCACCCAGAAAATCTCGTCGTTTTCTTTCACAAAAACTATCAAGGACTTTATACGCTTGTTGTTTCCATTCTTCCAATTGTTTCAATCCACTTTGGTCACCATCATAAAATTTGCTAAAACGCTCCAATAAAACATTGATTTTATCAGCAAATGGCAAAAGTTTTTCGTTCCGTTGATTGGCATGTACATTCAGGTGGTCAATACACAAATCTTTTTTACAGCATTGGCATAGTGCAAGAGATGCTAGTTGGCACTTATCAGCCACACATGGCAAAGACAGTAGCGAAGACATATTCTTCTCAGACGGATGTATTATGAAATGAAACACAAAAAAAAATATTTATACAAGAACGAGCAAGGTTTTTTCTTGTTTTTTTTTCTTTATCATAGTACAAAACGAAAGAGAACGCGAAGAGAAAAAGAGTCCGGTGTTGTAAGAATAATCAAGGTAACGCGGGAAGTAAAATTAACACTGATAAACAAAATAAATACTGGAGGAAAACCTCTGACGACATGTGATAGTTAAATAATCAACCATGGAACTGTTTATAATCTGTCAACTTCCATTATACATGATCAGACACTCCGAATTCAGAAGAGAGTTCGAGATACACGAATCGCGATAGAAGAAAATCTCTTAGACCAACGACGACATCTATATACTGTTCGATGATTTGTCAGTTGTGCTGCTGTGATCGGTCCTTCGTTCCATCGATCGATCTGTGTACTGTATCATTTTTTTTTGTTCTTCCCATCACAACGCCTAGATACAACTTGATTCCGTGTCCTGTTTTTTCCTCTCTCGTTCCATGAAACAATGCTGATCAAATCTTCTTTAATCAATTTAATCCTTTTATTTCTATTCGTAATTCATGTCATCACTAGTTTAGGTAATAAGACAATGATTGCGGTTTTTTTTACCTGAAAGAGTATTCTTTTGTTACGTAGAACAATGTAATTCAAAAGAAACATGTTCATCATGTTTATCTTTATCGAATCAATGTGCTTGGTGTACTCAGGTAAGAAAATGTCGAGAAAATTCGGTTTGAATGTGTTTTCTCTAGAATTCAACGGATATGTCATCGCGTAATGGTTCTTTTTTTCACTGCGATACAATTGATAATCTACAATTAACGTGCTCGGATCATTTGATTTCATTTCAAAGTTACCATTATGTCTTACAAAATGATTCACTTTCCAATGCGATTAATAGTACATCACAAGCTGTTCAATTATCGCCTCAAGCTGTCCATGTTGTTTTACGAATTAGTAAGAGAAAATTTATTGATTTTCCTCGAAGAATGCCATTTGATAACTTAGATGATTCGGAAAAAATTCCGATAAAATTTCGTCAGGCGGAAGATTATCCAGTGGATTTGTACTTTCTCATGGACTTATCACATTCTATGCTTGATGATAAAGAAAAACTGAGTTATCTCGGTCGGATATTAGCAACACAGATGCAATCGATTACAAAAAATTTCCGATTGGGCTTTGGCTCATTTGTTGATAAGAATGTTCCGCCCTTTGTTCAACCAGCACCTAACACGTATGTTATTCTTTATGGAAAACAATCTTTTTAAAAGCTCTTTTTTATTCTAGGGTTGAGCGTCCATGTCCAACTAGTTATAATGGACCATGTGTGAAAGCTTATGGTTTTAAAAATCATATGAGTTTATCGGACAATGTTGCTGAGTTCGAAGTAAGAATTTCATTGATGTATCGATGAGAATTCTATGCATGTTTGGTCATTTTAGTACCAAGTACGCGAAGCACCAGTGTCGGGAAATATTGATGCACCAGAAGGTGGATTAGATGCTATCATGCAAGCTATTGTTTGTGATGTATGTCCTAGCAGAAAACTCTCGGATTTGACTGGCCGTTTTTCTCTTTAAGGATGTGATTGGTTGGAGAAATGATTCTCGAAAATTAATTGTTTTCTCAACAGATGCTGGTTTTCATTATGCCGGCGACGGAAGAGTATGTAACAGATGTACTGAAAAGATTACCAAATTAGTAATTCGCCTCGGGCAATAAAACATTANATGATGGTAAATGTCATATGGTCAATAATGAATACACTCATAGTGATAAACAAGTAAATAGTGAACACGAGCGTTGATTGAAATAACATTGTTGTTTTGAAGGATTATCCATCTATTGGTCAGATAAGTGCGAAATTGAGTGAAAAAAATGTGAATATTATCTTTGCGGTAACACAATCTCAATTGGCATTGTACCAAACATTGACTGAATTGATCGATGGTGCTGTGGTCGGTGAACTAAAACAAGATTCGAGTAATATCGTGAATTTAATTAGTCAAAATTATCGAGTATGATTCATCTGGTAAGGTCCAACACAACTGAGAATTTTTTTTTTTCATTTAGAAAATCTCCTCGTCCGTGATGATGATGATTTCAAATGATTTGCCTGATGGACTGACAGTTAAGTTTACACCTGATTGTCAAGAGTAAGTTAAGATTTAATTTGAAAACTTTGTCTGACGAGTTTTATTTAGAAACAAACGAGATAAACCTGAATGTACGGTTAACGTTGGTGGTGTCGTAAGTATTTTCTAATGAATCTATATTGAAATAACATCATTTCATTTAGCTCAACTTCGAAGTGGAAATTTTAGCCACTAAATGTGTTAACAATGGTGCTCCGACAACATTTTCTATCTACACTCATGGATTGAATGACAAAATGCGTATTACAGTTCAAACGAATTGTACATGTTCGTGCTCGAAATTTCCGCGTCAAGTCAATAGTCCTCAGTGTTCGAATCATGGCACATATGAATGCGGTGTTTGTACATGCGCGAAAGGTTTCTATGGACGTGAATGTGAATGTGATACAGCTTCGCCAACAGTTGAATCGAAAATTCAACAATGTAAAAAGTAAGACTTGCCAATAAATCTGGTTCGGGAGTTTGATAAAGCTGAGAAATTTTAGACCGGGATCATCAGATATCTGTTCTGGAAGAGGCCAATGCGTTTGTGGAAGGTGTAAATGTGAAACAGCGACAATTGAAGTAAGTTATATAGAAATTCAGAATGGGTAGTCTATAATATGTGATTCTAGCCGGGTCAACGTATCTACGGAGATTATTGTGAATGTGACGATTTTTCGTGCCCTAGAAAAAATGACTTGGTCTGCTCAGGTACGTAACGAAAATAGATTCATTGGCATTAGAATGTTTATTTAACTATTTAGGACCAGAACACGGGTTATGTGGTTGTGATAAACGATGTAAATGTCGAGAAGGTTGGACAGGAGATGATTGTTCATGCACAACAAAAACAGATAGTTGTCTTGTGAATAATGTAATTGCAAATTTACTCTTCATTTTTCATACTCATTTTCTTTTATTAGACTATTTGTAACAATCAAGGTGTTTGTGAATGTGGTCGATGCAAATGTCACAAAGATTCGGGTTATCTTGGGCCCACCTGTGAAGATTGTCCTGTAAGTTATTCATCTTCAAGTTCTAGCATTGAAAGTTGCTTTTCTTTATGGAAAAAGAATGTGATTTCTCTGAGGACTTGTATACATTTAATTACGTTTATTACATTTCTCATCTGAGAATTTCTTAATCGACTTCATTTCAATCGAAGAAATAAGAATATTCATGATTGCTTTTAGACATGTGAACATCGATGTACTGCGACGAAAGATTGCGTTCTTTGTAAAGTATTTCACAGTGGATCCTTATCGGAAGAGCAATGTGAACAATGTCCATATCGTTTTGAGATTATTGATGACGCTCGAAGTAATTGAACTAGTTTGTCACTTCTTTACAATCAAATATTCTCTTCTTGCAGAAGATCGGTACCATCGTTTATGTCAATTCGATGATGAACAAGACCAATGTCGTTTCTTTTATACATATCATACTGAAAAAGATCAACTAGTTCTTCGAGTTCAAAAGACAAAAAGTAAAATTCGTATTTCTCCTGCCATTGCTCAACTTTTTTTGTTTTCGAAGATTGCCGACGTATTTTATCTGTTCGTTCTACGATAATTATCATTGTTTCCAGCATCTTAGCATTTGGATTATTCTGTTTGATGGTTTGGCGTATGTTAGCAACTTTACACGATCGACGGGAATTTGCTAAATTTGAACAAGAACGTGAAAAGGCCAAATGGGAAACCGTAAGAGCACGTGCGTTGAAAATCGTTATTCTATTGAACATTTTCCTAGGATGTTAATCCGCTTTATCGACAAGCAACTGTCAAATATCAGAATCCGACTTACCGCGGCTACAAAGTAGCTGCTGCCATCGACAGCAATCAGTGAAATCATGCTTTTAACATCTTTTCTTCCTATCCGTTTTTCTAGTCTTCGTTTTGTTTTCCTTGTTTGACTAGTTGACACATTTAATCAATGAATTTTCACTTTTCATTTAGGTCAGATCACGTTTTGCATGTTTTCTTATGTATTAATCTCAGATTTGAATTAATCGACATTTTTTACCTAATGAAACTCTTCTCTTTTTTTTTGTATATTCATAGACAGATCAAAACACAAATGATAAATAAACCAAAAAAATACGATCGTTTCTCCTGCGAATGTATTGATGTTTTGAGAAAGTTTTCGCTTCTTTTTAGTTTAATGAAATGCGTTTGATGGATCATCATGAAAATCCACAAACTGTCAAACGAGACAATAGTAACCATTCAAGTCCAATACCAACACCATCGCCGCCACCGAATAATCTACGTGTGAACAGTACCGTACGCTTAACAACCATATTCGACACTGTTCGAACGGGAAAAGTGGTGGCTTTTGACAATGGATCGAATTTAGTTACATTACGTAAGTGAAATCGCGAAAAATCGAATAAAGAAATTGAAGGAGATGCTCGGTTTTAGATATGAAAGGTTCAAAACCAGGTTTAACATCTATTGCTGTTATTAATCTTATTCATTGTCGAGAATGGACTGTTGTGCAAGAGTCCAACGATGAAACACTCGAACCACTCTATCCAATTGATATTAACAAAGTATGTTCAAGAAGATTAGACTTCAGGTTTGGATTCTATTGAACATGATTGTTTTATATTATTCTAGTTGAAAAAACGTCAAACAGAAAACGAAAACGAAAAGAAAAAGGAAGCTTCATTTGTTAATCTAAAAGCTAGTCGAATTGGTCAAGCACTTTTCCGTGATATCAAAAAGACGTAAAAACCAAACAAAGTTCACTTTTCAAAGAAAGTAGTCGATAAATTTCATTTCTAGAATGAATCAGGTGATTCGCTGGTCAAATAATGATATTTTAATCAACAATACTGTTCGAATCGTTGATCCATATCGCGCAGAAAATGTGTCTATTGATGCTCCGACTCAATCAACGAACACAGCAATTGCAAAAGCATCAGCCAAAGGAGACAACGATACAAAAACACATATTATCAAACTGGTAAACTTTTCTCGATAGTGAAATAGAAAGTCCAGTTCTTTTTATTATAGGTAGAAAAGTTTTGGTTAGATCAATCAAAACTTCCTTCAAACAGAGATTCCAAGTCCAATACACGAACTGAATCGGCAACGAAAAGTTAAATAATATCTTGTCAGTCTCTTCTTCTTTCATATCTCATCTCAAACATTCATTTCGTGAATGCATGTGTGTGTGTGTGTGAATAAGTGTCTGAAATCATTCTCATGTTCATTCACATCTTTTTTTTTCTTTTCTCTACTCTTCAAGAGCTGGCCATAAACACTTAGGAAAAGATCAAAATTTTCTCTTTTTTCTTTCTTCAACTTTACCGTTATTAACGTCGTTTGCCTTTTATTACCTTTTTCGCCTATTTTATCGTTGAAACTCCCATCATTCAACATACACACAAGCATAAACTATTTTTTGCGTGTTAGTCCGTTCGCTTTTTGTGCAAGAAAGAGAGAATAAAAAGAAGAAGAGGAATAAAACTGTCCATTGCGACCAAAATCGATCGATCATCAAGCGCGCAGATACGAACAATATAAAACAAATAAGCTCCAGCTTGTTATGTTCATGATGCAATGTATTATCGACAGATATATTAAACATCAAAACTCCATATGTGCCCGTGTTCACAAAACGTATATTTATGATATGAGCGAATTCACATGAACAATGACGAAAGCTAATGAGAAGTGTTTGTATGAGTTGATACAATAGGAAGCCGACTAGTTTCTTTGTACTTGATCGAACTAGACGGACACAGTCACGTTCGTTAACAAAATTATATTTTCAATCATTTGCATCTTCAACATCAATCGTAATATATCTATTCGAGATTAATAACACAATAAAAAACGTAAAAAAATATCAGTCTCGTCTGCTTTCTTTTCCTCTCTCTTTCAATGTATAAGATGATATTGTCCATATGACTTGACCACATATGAATGTCGATCATTAACTATCATTATACTTACTGAATAGATTCATTTCTATGAGTTTTTGTTCTTGATCAAGATAGATCGATTTCAAACTAGGTATATTACAACATCCATTTGATATATTTATATACGATCAATTTTTTGTTCATCACATGCAATGATGTTCTAATCATCGACTGGTTTAATCTCGTTTGACAAATAGTGATTAGAAACCTATACTGATCTTTTATCATGGTTGGAATGAAAATGGGCGAAACAACAAAATGGTCAAATATTGCTTTTGGTAGAATTCCACTCAAGTTACCAACATCATCAATGCCTAATGTTAATCTGACGACGGTAAATAGTAATATTCTAAATAACAACAAAACGGAAGAACTTGCGGCAAATTTACTCAATCATCAGCGATATCGGACAGAATTATCGTTGAATATTGCGGATTATTCTTGTGTTCCTAAGTCAACGGTAAGATTAATTCGTTTTCTTATCAATGCACCATCTACTGAGAATCTAAAAGCGAGGTCTTAATCGATGTCTAATCGAAATCAAATGATAATAAATAATAATTATAAATAACAAGATACTGAATGTTGACTTTGATTAGATCGGGATGTCAGCGAAGACAAGATAGAAAGAAAAAGCAATTGATCATTATGATACATTATTTCATCAAATAAATGAAGAGCACAGAGAAAACTTCTTCTTAGCTCGACTTTCAATTCATTAGTCCTAATTAAAATTCTTCTCGTCTTGTCATTCAAATAAATGATCTTGACATGTACCGATGTTCATTTTCTTCTTTCGATTCCGATTTGTATATTGATTGCATCAACTTTTATACCATTCATCTCTCGACATATCTGTGACATATCGCTGTCTGTTATCGGTCTTTCTCTTTGGCCCTTTTCCTTCTCTTATATACATGCCAACACACTTTCTCCTACGTACATCAAGATATACATTCAGTTCATTGGTCTGCCTGATTTTGTTCAGAAAGCTATAAAACATATATGCATGCAGTAAGAAGAAAGAAGGAAAGAAAATGAGTATTATCGTGTTCATTAACTTCTCTCAGTATCATACACGATAGATGAGATGCCACGAGATGATAAACATCAACATTTTCCTATGGAACCATTCTGGGTAAGAATAGGTTTTTTTTTGTTTGCTATCTAATTATACAACGGTATTTTTCATGATGAAAAAAGCGCAGTGTCTGTTGTGGAAAGATGATTAAGAATATAAGAAGAAAAAGAAAACAAAAGAGACCTTTTCTCGTCTTAAAAAAACATCGCCTCTCCAACGTATACAATCACACATGGAGGCAACAGATTGAGTCCTCAATTGAAAAAAAATAAAGAATTATCTAAGTTTTTGTCATGGTTTAATTAGCCCAGATGTTCAATGATGAGTTTTCCATATAGTTAATTGTTTGTATGTTATGTATGATTAGGATTCGAATCGTTTGACAGAAAAGTTACATCGGCTGGAAAATGAACGTAGTTCATTAAACTTACAAATACAAGTTTTAAGTGAAAAATTAGAACTTCAACAAGATACTCTTCAAGAATACGAACAATTACAACGTCGAACAAAACCCAAGTATCGTAATTCAATAACAAATACTTCGCATATTCATCCTAAACATGTTCATCAGCAGCCATCTTTTATTCAACACGTATGTATTCTTTCTTCTCTCTCTCTCTCTCTCTCTCTATCCGTCTCATTAGATGGCTCGAGCAGAATAGTACAAAAGTAATATTACTTCGGTCAGACATACTGAATCAGATGCACAATATATGTATATATATATCGATAAAGAAAAAGAACAATGAAATAGACTTGTGCATTGGTTATACTCGCGTACACATCCGTAGTTGCTCAACGTAATTGCAGATGCCGAATATGTATGTACATATTGAATGTGTGAGTCGTCGTCGACGTCGTCGTCATCAACTTTGTCGAAAACAGAACACTCCTAGGCAAAGAAGGACACACACAAAGGAGTGAGAAAGAAGAAGAAAGGCAAAGAAAAATACGAAAATAATAGTAAAGGAAAGAAGAAAAAAGCGAGAAGGAGAAAGCAACAGAGAGCAGGTTGATGCTTGGCTTGTCTATGCCTGTACTTTTCATACCTTCGCCATGGTCAGTATTTAATCCAACAGTCGCATTCGTTCATTTGATTCGAAAATGAGTCTCGTAGTTAAGACACTCTCGTGTAGCAATTTCAGTCATAGTAATACTAACAACGGTGATAATACACAAACTATGCTTTTACGGCAGCACACAGGTGGAATAATGTCATCGAAAAAACTAAAGGTTAGTTAAGTATATATGTTAATGATAGAGAAACAAAAATTCTGATATTTATATAAGAAAGATTATGTGTGAATTGAAAAGGAAATCAGCAACGTTCGTCATTAATGATTTTAGGATCCGTCGCAAACTATGATTGATTCATCACAGTTTTTAAATGAGATCAATCATTTTAAAATTCGGCTGGATACACTGGAGAAAGAACGTTATGAACTTGAAGATAAAGTTCGTCGACTTCAAGTATGTTTGTTCGATTTCGACTTGTGATTGTTCAAGATAACTTTGTGATTTCAAGGAAGAAAACGAAGCATATAAGTGTCGTCTAGCTAATGGTAATCACGATTGGATCAGTTCGCGATCGACATCAGCATTGAATGGACGTGCCACTCCGTCGTCAGTTATGGGTAAGAAAAGTTCGATGAAGCAAGCAGTCTTCGGCTATTTTGTGGAAAGAAAAGATATTTATATGAGTTTATTTCTATTTGATCAATCTCTCTAAGGCAAGGTTAAACGTTCTTCATGGACAAGAACGAGGCAATAGGGAAAAGGAACGAGAGAAGACACATCACGATGATAGTGATGATGATGATGATTCTGTTGTTGTTGATAGTACTGTTTTCTTGGATATTTTTCTGTTCTCTTCTTTATATTAGATTCTTCTTTTTCCTATTATATTTCCCTTTCTTTTTCTCTCTCCTTATTTGCACGATATCTATGTACAAGATTGTCCGATCGATCAAGCAATTATCTCGTGCTCTACTGGATTTCTAACTGAAGAACATTGTCTAGAAATCAAATGTCGTCCTTCTTTACGTCTGAAATCAATTCTAAACCATGGAACTTGTCCTTTCCATATGCTGGAAATAGTTCACTTCCGCCTAGATATCCAGCACAATTTTCTATTCGTCGTGGTAAGTACGAACAAGAAGAAGGAAAAGTGATAATATAGAATGGCGATCTGTATGCATACGTGTACGAGTGTGTCAGCTGATGATTGTCGAGGTCATTCTACATTCGCGTCTTGTCGAGTTCAAACTATCAACGTTTCTTTTCTTTTCTATCGCCTTCTGTTGGTCTATTTTTCGTCTTCGTTTTCTACTCATACATTCACATTTGTTCATATTTGTTTCTCCTTCTCCTTCTTTCCAATCTTATTAACAAACAATTCTATCTATCTATCCTAGAAAACGATATCGAACGTTTGAAACGACGTATTGAATCGCTCGTCAAATCAAACGACGAAAAAGTAATTACGACACTATAATTACTCGTTGTCTACTTGATATATGTATATACATCTGTTTCAGGAAAGAAAGATCGAAGATTTACAAAGTCAGATATCAAAATATCAATCAATTGGATTATCTGCCATCCTACCCTCAAACGAAATACCATCGTCAACTACGAAAAAGATCGAGCATTCTGGTAAATATTGCAAGAAAAGCAAATAAATAGAATTTATTGATCAATTATTCAGTTAATAACAACAATAATAATAACATTCAACGACCTGGTTACGAAGCAGACGGTGATAATTCCGATTCAAATTCATTACCATCTGTTAATAGTGATAAAGATTTACCGGTAATCATATACATCGTTGATAAGACTATCTCTTCATTCCGTTTTTTTTTAATAGCCATCATCATCGCAGAAACCCCCTTCATCATCTTCCTGTTTATTAACACGATCATCACACAATGGTCATGATTCTTGTCTGAATTCTTACCAAAATCCTCTATCGAAATTGAAACTTGACGTCTTGCAGCGTGTTAGTAAATAGCTTCTATTGAACTCATCGGTCAAAATTTCTCTTATCTTAGGCTTCAAGTGCTGAACCAATGATGACAAGAGAATTAACTAACGTAAGAGTTCGTCGTATGAAAGAAAAATGAAACGATTGGTTTTCGTTCACATTTAGACACCTATTCGTGATAAACAACAACAACAACAGCAATCCTCAATGATTCGAACGCTTCCTTCCGACGATAGAATGAATCGTACATGTACGAATGAAATGAATTGTTAAGATAAGAATGACTTTGTGAGTTTAGATGATCAAAGCGGTTATATCTCGGACGGACCGAGTCATAAATATTCGATTTATAAAAAATCATCAGCAACGAATCTGGATAAAAGCAAATCATCAAGTGCAAAAGGATTACGAAGTATTTTCGGAAGGTAAAACGAATGAGCTGAGGTGAACTCGTATGTAAACATCCGTCTTTCTAGAATCATTCGAACGAATTCAGGAAATTTCCGTGAAGATAGTGAAAATCCAAGTCCAAGTCCATTTCAACGTGGTGGATTACGAGCAACTACTAGTGGAGGAAAAACATCGATGAAACCATTGAGGTAAGGCAACGCTCAGCTGCTATCTTTTGTCTTAAAGGTATTTTCCATATGACGGGAAAAATCTTCGCAATGTTTATTTCCATAAATTTGCCCTTGTAATATGTTAATGAGAGTCTATGTTGATATTATAGAATGTCTCTAATTAAACATAAAATATCACGGAAGACATTCGACCATAAATGTTGCGAGATGAGTAGAGAAGAGAAAAGTGTATTTGGATTGCCTTCTGTTTCAGCGCTTTGGAAGCAACATTTTCTCGTTGGCAAACCGAACAAATTGTCAATTGGTTGTATGGAATCGGACTTGGCCAATACGCAAGTGAATGTCGTAAACATTTCAAAAATGGCCTACAACTTCTACACGCTACGCCCTCAGAATTGGAAAAGGTAACGAAATCAATCAAGGTTCATTGTAAGCAGCTTGTGTATATCTTCTAGAAAATTGGTATGCGTAATCCATTGCATCGGAAAAAATTGCAATTGTGTTTAAATGGTCTATGCACACGACAAACTGAAGCGAACATTCTCGATACACATTGGGTTCAAAGTAAAATTTCTTAACACACTCAGATAAATGATATATTCGATGTATTATTTAAGAATGGCTTGATGATATCGGTTTACCTCAATATAAAGAATATTTTGCTGAATCCAAAGTCGATGGTCGTCTCCTGAATAATCTAACCTTGGTAAGATAATGGGATCACTCGTCAGCCATATTTGACATTCAAATCAAATTTTAGGATGATATTGTCTACTTGAATATAACAAATGAGCTTCATCATTTGAGTATAAAACGTGCAATTCAAGTTTTACGTTTGAATGGTTTCAATCCATCTAGTATCAAACGACGGCCAAGTCCAGAGGATAAAAATGACATGACAGAAATAATGCATTGGTCAAACCATCGTGTTATGGAATGGTTAAGATCAATTGATTTATCTGAATACGCACCAAATCTGCGTGGATCAGGTGTTTGCGGCGCTTTGATTGTAAGGAAAATGTTCGCTGTTTTTTTTCTTCGTAAAATCAATCTTTCATTTGCTGTAGATACTTGAGTTACGTTTTAATGCTTCGACACTGGCCGAAATTCTCTCGATTCCAATGTCCAAAACGTTGTTAAGACGACATTTAACAATGCGCTTTCAAGAATTAATCGGCAATGATTTACAAACTCGTAAAAATCAATATGAAAAGTCGCCGAACTATCAATCATTGACGGCACATACAAAAATCAAATTTTCACGTGGCTTATTTGCTCATCGTCGTACGCGTTCTGTCGAAGCCGATGATTTAGTTTGTCCTATGAATGAAAATGGCATTCCAAATGGAATATCACCTAGTTTAAAGGTAAAAACTTTGTTTCGACTAGAAGAATTGATCCTTCTTTAACTCCTCTCTGACATTATTCTTTGTTTTTCTCAATATTTCCGTTATATAATTTAGCGTTTTCCACGCAAAGAAGCATCATTGGCTGATACTGTTGAGGATGAAGTGGGTTTTGCTGCTCATTTTTTATTTGTTTCAAAAGATTTGCATGAGTGATTGATGTCTTTTTCATGTCAGCATGAGAATAACCGCTCTCTTTTTTTAATGGGCTTTTGGCGATGAATTACATTATTGACTTTCATTGAAACTCGCGAAATCAACTGAATAATTCTCTTCTTCTATGTTTTAGCTCGTTCTTGCTCACGATAGTCCAACGACGGTTGTTTAAAATCAGTCAATTGTGTTCCTACTTGTGAATTTTCGTGGTGCTTGGATGTATACACAAATAAAAAATAACAAGTGTTTCTTTCTTGTGTGCCTTGTTTTCTTCTTTCAATGCATTGTATCTATATCGTAGAATTTTACTTGGAATAAAACGTGCATTCGTTTTATCTATGAATGTAATTGTGATCCGAATGAACACGATTATTCGATCAGGTCATGATGTCTTGTTTAATGAGAAGAATCAATCAATTTCAATTAATCATCGATGAAGAAAGAGAATATTCAATAGAACATATTATTTTTCTATTAAAACTTTACTAGAAAGAAAATTTCGGCGAGAGCAGTTAAAAAAACTAGTAAAAACGAGTGAGAGTTTCGTTTGCTGAGAGATGTGCCATATAGTTTCATATCCCAAGCTTGTCGCAATACATGTCGTGCTATTTGACATTCTCGTGCTTCCCATTGATTACCACACATGATTAAAATTAATTCTTCCGGGTCATCTTTGCATGCATATTGAAAACCTTGGGCTAATATTAAATTTTCTAATTCAACTAAACTTTTTTCGCCGCATTTTTCTCTATTTAGAGCACGAAATGAAGTCATAGAAAAGATTGTACATTGGTTTGACTCACGTGACTTGTTTGTCGGGTGAATGTAAAAGAAGAATATTGATTTTTGTCACACGGTACTCGCCCGTTCGTCGAAAATTTGGTAATTCAAAGTCAGAAAAGTAGGAATTGTTACGAAATGCAGGTCTATCGTTGGCGTGACTTCCATTAAGGACAACATAGATCTCTCCAGCAGCTAATTGTGCGAACTAAAGCAAACATATTTGTACTAAGACAATGCAATTCTTATCTAATCTTACTGTTTTCGATGCCAAACCCCAAAATGCCAAATCAGCCCATCGATTATCTTTACAATTATTCGGACAACTAAAAAAATCAAATCCATCCGTATGATTTTCATTTCCGCACCACACAAGACCGTTGACCATCGCTGCTGCCAGAGTATCTTCTAAAGTTATATAATTAGCACCATCCGCACTGTAAGCATGTGTAACACCATACGTTCCACTCCAGAACATTGCCTAAGATTAGATAACAGGTTAGAGATTAAAAACTTTTTTCTTCATTTTTAAGTGGATTTACTCGATTGATAACATGGACATCAGATAAAGCTAATTGGAAATATTTTTCATATGTACTCATATTCATGTTACAGTATGGCTTATATCGAACGGCGGATTCAAATGCTTGATAGAGTTGTGTACAATTTTTTACATTACTTCAATAGAAAAATGTTGCAAATATTGGTAAAAGAGGATCAAAAGTATTCGCTTACGATTGATTTGTTAAAAATAATTGATATTTTAGATATTGATACTCATAACAGCGGCCAATCATGATTTCTTTGAGACCACATGTTGTTCCATTGGTTTTCGTATACGAACCATTGCATGAACTGATCAGATGCATTTTCTGAGAGAATTTCGGTTTAGGTTTCTTTCGCGCATACGAGATCGATGTTCTTATCGGTGGTCGATTACTATGTGCTCGATCAGCTAGAACAGGAGCTTCAAGATGAATGTCCGAGGACTTCTGATCAGCAGCATAGGTCAGACTTGTAATATCAGTAACTAATAATAATACGAAAGAAAAAACTAAAACAAAATTTATATTACAGCATTGGTTTCGGTCAAATAACAAAAGACTCACTTGAAACTTGATTGTAAATCATGATTAGGTTATATTTGACATGCACTTATTAGTTGAATCAATATATTCATATTAATGAGAATAGATCTAGAGAACACATACAAGAAAGAGAAAATTGTAGATGATTTATTACTTGAAGGTTTAAGGTCGACGAAAAAAAAAAGCTAAAATTTACATTCACTTCATTGTTTATTTTCATATAACTTATTATCTGATTATTAAAAGATAACAAACAAAAGTAAACACAGGAAAGTCGAGAAATTGTATAGTTAATCCTTTTTCTTCTCGTTCTCCGTCAAATCATTCCATCGAGAAGAAAATTTTACATGACATCGTGTTTATCTATATGTTTGTTTTTTCGAAAAATCTCATTTGTTCTCCATTTTGCGTAGAATTCATCGAAATATCGCTATTAGTCTTTCGATGTTCTCTGTGTCACTCGAATAATCAACAGAAAGCGTATCCTTAAAACTTACTAACTATTTTCTTACAACTACTCGAACAAAACAAGTCAAATATCAATCATCGATGGATATGAATTCTACAATGTGACAAAGTCGGCAAAAGACGATGATTTATTTGTTCTAACCGAATATGGTTCGAATATCGAAGGCAATAGTTTATAAGTTTCAATTATCGTCTGCTCTATATGACATCAATGTGTATAATAGTATAGAGAGAGGCGTTATCTTCCTCTAAGTTTATACATTCAGAATAGAAAGGAGAAAACTGTCGACCAGAATGCAGAACATAGTACAGGACTTTCACCTAATTATGTCAAGCAATACCAGCTTTAACGAGTATATTCTTACTGGAACTTATGACAGAAGAAAACAGTACTTAACTATGTATAATGTTTTGTGGTTATACTAGGACAATAATGCTAATGATAGTATAGAACTCTTTCTCATTTCTTAACAAATAAATAAGTAAAAGACGAAACTAGTGAATTCTAGGGAATATCTACTTATTAGTCTACAAAATATCTATTGTTAGATAAAATAGTTTATATTTGACAAAAAAAATCTACGTAAAATAAATTTAGTAAAAAACTATGAATGTATGCACCATATCTTCGAGTTTTATCTTATCATAAACGAAAACAAAATGTAACATGAAAGATACACATAAATAAACGAGATACTTTTTTGAAAAATCTATTTGTTGCATAGTTTTATCTTATCTGATTTTCTCTTCTACATAAACATCTTTCATTCACAAACCGAACAACTAGTATGTGACCGTTATTATTTTTTCTTCTACAAACTTCGTTTACTCTCTTTCAGAGCGGATAGTCTTCCAAACTGTTGACTAGCTTCTAATTCTACGGGAAATGAACGTTTCCAATCATCAGCTCCGATTTCATTAAGTTCAGCAAATTTACGCAAAAGATTTTCTGCTAATTTCTGATTTCCTTGTCTAAATAGTTTGTGTATCCACATGACACAACAGCGTCGAGGCATTCTTTGACAATCGTTCTATCAGTCACATTCGTTGACACTAAAAAAATAAGCAGAAAAACAGTACAATAAAAATCACGATTTAGCTTAGAAGTTATTTGTATTATGTTGACTCGATATATATATACGCATATTCGAATGATAATGGAAGGAAATAATCTGCTAATGGATGACGATGTTTCATCCCTGCCGGACTCGTTGACATAAAGTTCAGTATTGTGTATATTTATTTATACAAGACTTGCGAGAAGGTCAATTGAGAGAAAAGGAAGACTTGGACAGGAATTTGTATAGCGAGTGAATAATAGTTTTCTTGTAATCGAACGGGTTTTTATGTTTTTATTAGCACTTGAATCTTGATGACAGATAAAAAAACACACTGATGAATGTTATTCATGATGAATGATCGAACAAATATCAATGATTAAAGAATGATTTTCTAAAATCTGTATAGTAATTAATTAATCCTACAGAATCACATTATTTTCGTCTTGTCTTAGATAAAAAATGCTTCTGTATACTCTCATGCTTTTGTGTCTTATTCAATCGATCAATTCTTCCATTCGAACGATTGATGATTGTCAATTATTAATCGTTGGTGGAACAACATCTGCTCTGGGAGCAATTTTGTCAGCTTCGAAATTTATAAAAGGAAATGCATGCGTACTTGAACCAACCGATTGGATTGGTGGACAATTAACAGCTGAATTATTGAGTGCACCAGATTTTGCCGGACAGGTATTGAGAGACAAAGATACAAACTTTACTTTGGATGTCGGTTCGATCGATCGACAAATGGACAATCAAAATCCTCTCTTTGCCAAAATGCTTTCTGTCCTAGGCGATACAGGTCGATGCTGGGTGTCACCGAAATGCTCCATTCCAAACTTGTTTCATTCAGAAGCAATCGTGCCAGAATTGAATAACACACGTATATTTTATAATACAGTCATTAAACGCATCGATAAAGATGCAAGTGGTCGTCGAATTATTCAAATTGAGGCTATTCAACGCACACCAATTCAATCATCAACTGAACGGTGTCGATTTTTGTCGGAAGAACTACCCGATTGGTACTCACCAACGGACAGTGCATGGTTTACGAAGACTCAATTATCATTTACGAACATAGCATACGTAATGGATGGCAGTTCATGGGGTGAGGCATTAGTTTTATCAAATGCAAGTTATCTGCAAGGTGTGATGGAACGTTTCGATGGCGATACATCAGGTATTGGCGATTCGACGTGTGGACAAGCGTTTACAATCGATTTTCTTCAACAATTACGCGAAACACCTACTGATGAACCACCCAATCCGTTGCCTGAACCAACCGGAGGAGCAAATTATACATTTGAATCTTTAACATGGGAACGTATATGGACGTATCGGCGAGTCAACACGTCTGCACCTAATGCAAATATTGTCGCTGCTAATGATATAACAATACAAAATTGGGCAGGTGGAAATGATTATAAAAAAGAATTCTTTTTTCTTTCTCTATCGGATACACAACATCAACGAGATACAAATCAATGGCAAGGTGGTGTGAATCTAGATGCTATTCAGAATGCAGAACGAGAAGCTTATGGGTATCATTACTGGTATCGAAATAATTCACCTCCTCAATGGACTAATCGAACTGTACTTGTACGTTCAGTTTCTGCAACAGGCACATGCCATGGCCTAGCAAAAATGCCCTATCTAAGAGAATCACGTCGATCAATTGGTGTCGGAGATTTTCTTATGAATATTACCACTATCAGCGGACATGCACGTGATTTACATGGATATATTTTCGAAGATCGTTTATGTATTGGTACTTATAACGCTGATATACATCCAATGCATTGTAATTATTCGTCGTACATAAAAGAACAATATCCTATTTTACCTTTTTACATACCCTTACGAGCCATGACAAATCGTGACATAGATAATTTGATAGTAATTGGTAAGACCATGGCACAATCATTTTTAGTGAATTCAGCAACTCGTCTACACCCGATAGAATTCTCTATTGGGCAAGCAGCTGGTGTAGTTGGAGTGTATGCTGTGCAGAACAAGCTATCAAAGGTTGCTGACATGCTCGAAGAAGACCATTTAAAACGTGTACAAACTTTGGTGAAAATACTTACGCCAGCATCATGGACAATCAATGGAACACGATATCCCGATGATTAGACTTGACATTTCAGTTTTATTGCTACGTTTGGGGCATTTGTGATTGCTATTTTTTTCTTGGCTTCTGTCTAGATTATATATTTCTTTTGGAATGTTCTATTGAACGAATATCACTGAAATGGGTACAGGATAAAACAAATCAGATTATAATCTTTTTTGAAGAGAATCAACTAACAAAATATCTAATCTTTATTGTGACTTATAATTCTATATGTGTCCAAGTCTGATCAAAGGACGAACCAATGACAACACGGACGCGAGCTTTTCTTGATAAAGAGATTAATGAGGTTCCGTATGAGGATCGTCGCCATCATGAGGTTTCACGAAGTAAATATAGTCGAACGTGAAAGTGAACCTGATATCCTCTGATACAATTAAATGTAAAATTTATTTACATAAACCATTTGCAATCGTATAGATGATAACTAGTAAAATTCTTCATCTACACAACGACTTCGTCATACATTTTCTCCACCATCGATGGATGATCATTGCCATTATTGTGATTTAGCTGAGAAAAATAGTCTCATTGGATAAAAAACTTTCGTCGATATCGGATGCAAAACCCGGATCATAGTACTAAACATAATGATCCACTCTATAGACATATCCCTCTGTACGTAACACTACGACATGATTATGAACTCGGTTTATTTCATGATACAGCATATGATTGTACATTTGTGAAACTGACAGTTATTTTGGTGATATGGTATATCTTGAGAATAAAGATTCGGATTTCGATTATTATTTTATCGACGGGTCTGTAATTGAACATATTATTGAACGATATATAAAACTAACCGATCATGACCTATTGCATTTGTTTGGGATACAGAATGTGCGCCATCACTGCTTACCGCTGCAAAAAACATTCGCATCATGTAGGAATGAAAATTTTGGTGAATATCAGACCAACTGTGTTAACATCGCATTCATATTTTAACCAATGTCAATCATTATTTATTTAAAATAAGGAAGAAAATCAAGTGACCGAGAAAACCTTACAGAATGGAGTTGAATGTACAAAATTCTCTCTGGATGTATGAAGAAGCCCTTCTAGTAATTCAAGAAGCCTTATACTTTCGCAAACGTTTACATTCATATATATATATATATATTCTCTTTCACACGAAGCTGCGATAACTGGGTATCCGACTATTTGTCCAATCGTTTATCATTTTCGATCCGATAATAAATATCATGATCAATCTTTGAATTTCTCCTTGGATAGTAGTCATCTGTCATATCGGCATGTAAAGAATATTCCATAGATCGTACGCGATACTTCCCATATGGGATGAAATGATATGCCGATGAATAAACGACTGCAGTTGCAGTGACATTGGATATACTTCCACTGTTCATTCGAATGGATCGGTAAAAGTGAATTTAATCTATAGGATGATTATGATAAACCGCAAGGAAAGTTTGATTTACAAACGATTTGTTTATCACGCAACGAAGATCATATTCCACTCGATATATTTGTTATATAAGGAGAAGAAACGTCATTGCGATGGTGTTTACCTCTCATCGAACAACGTGCGTATCAAGTGAATCAATCTGAATAGTATCGATAAATCAAGGTTTATTATACGTCTATACCACTCGAACTAGTCTCTCTGACGAATTGAGAAAATTTTGTAGAATTCTCTCGAGAATTGATTTTTATTAGAAATATGATTTGCATATATCGATTGATTAAATATTGCAACGATTGAACTAGCTCGGGACAGAAGATCTTCATGCATAATTGATCATCATTCAAAAGCAAGTGAATAAAAGTATACACTGAGAAGTTTCTCTTCTCGAATAACACGCGATGAATGTCACTTGTCATTGACAAAGCGTAGGAAATCAGCTGACATTCATCGTTCCGTTTGTTTTCTATTAAATTACAGCCTTCGAAAAGGATTATAATCCTTCGAGAAAATATTTTTGAAGAGAAGCAAAACTCTCTGTTTTTATCGATTAAATTGAAAGAAATTGATTTATTGATTTAGAAGCAGAACAAACAGGCGCGTGTGTACAAAAAAAGAAGAAGAAAAAAATGAGAGTAAATAAATCAATGTTTCCATGTGAATCTATGTTTTTTCTTTGTCCTCAGAAACATGAGTGAATCACACAAAAAACGATCAATTGCACAAGAGGAAAAGATAGACGAAGACATTTGATGATTAGTAGTTTTTAAGAATGATTTTTCACTGTTGTCTGATGTTAATTCGAATTGAATAAGAGAGCAATAACAAGAGAAAAAAACAAACAAAGATAAATCTGATAATTGAGGAAAAGAAAGAACAGAGATGAACTCGTGATAGCAATTTATAAAATAACACATTTGGAACCTTTTTTTGTTTTCTGAGGTTTGATTCGTGGGCCAGGTGGTGCAACTGTATGTGTTTCGCGTACGGGATTTTTAAACGGACGGACAATACGCATCAATTCACAGAAAACCTTAAGAGAAAAATAGTCAATGTATAATATTTCTTCGAGAAACGCAGAAATCTTACTTTATCAACATTATGCTTTGTTTTAGCTGATGTTTCAATGTACCGAATCGACCAACTGCGTGCTTTTTGCTCTGCCTCTTCCAACGTAACTTTGCGTCGTTCAGCTAAATCAATTTTATTTCCTACTAAGATTGCGGGAATATTTGTTCCTCCATTTTTGACACGCAAAATTTGTTCACTATATCGAATGAAGATATCCAATGACGAAATTTCTTCTAAAGAAAGTCCTTACTAGAGTTCGTTGAGATCCGAAAACGATTCACTGTCAGTGACATCGAATACAAGAAGAAAACCTTCACCACTACGAATGTACGTATCTCGAATTGCTAAAATACAATCATCAGAATTATTAGCATAGTTATTCAGAGCAAACAAACCAGCATAGTTCTCTTGGCCAGCAGTATCTAATATATCAATTTGAACTTCTTCACCATCAAGCATCACTGCTTTTCGATAGGAATCGGCTTTTGTTGGTTCGTAATCCACAACGAACTAAGAACAAGTTAAATGTCGAAATTAACATAAACTCATTACAAATGATTCACACTTACTTCATCGTACATATATTGAAGGGTGAGAGCTGATTTTCCAACACCACCACTGCCAACCTAGATAGTTCATATTGAATAAACAAGAACTGATGATTTTTCTGGAAAATGATTTACCATAATTAGTCGGTATACAGCTGCTGTTTTATTCGACGCTGCCATGACTCAAATGGTGAAAATATATCTAAAGGTAGAGAAAAATGAATTTTATGTTTCATTTTATACTATTCAATCCGGATATGAGTCATGAGAGAGATGAACCGAAAGCTTTTGAGTCATAAATGACTAAAAACAGGATTGGGGACATTTACAGAAGGAAGGAAGATGAATAATTTGAAGCTGTTCTTCGACTTGATAAGTTATGTTATGTTTCCTTGCGAAGAGTGAGACGAAATAGCAAATATCCAATCCACTGATAAAATGATCATGAAAGAAAAATAAAAATTTTCCCTACTGACATCTATTCTATTCATATTTCATTCGTTGAACACATTTTCATGACCTTATAATGTTGATTATTGATTGATTTCCTTCTCACTCGGAGTATACCGAATGTTATTCTATATTTCACATGTCTGCAACAGACATAAGCATCATGTAACGCTGAAAAGTATAGGTTCTCAAAGAAAGGCGTGATACGATAGCCCTTGTTTACATCCGTTTCTTTCTTCAGCGACATACTCAAGTTTTCAACTGTACTGATGTCGTTAAAATCTTGATAATGTGGGTATACACTTCAATGAACTGAATTCAAATGATACCGCTGCTAGGAATATAGGCGAATTGAAAGTAATTAAAAATAAGTACCAATGTTAATTGTTTACACTGTTAAAGAAGGAAAATATCCGAAGGGAAATAAGCGGACCAATTAGTATTGAAAACTATTCTAATTTTGGAGAGTGTAGAAGCCGCTTTTTGCTTCTCGAGGCGAACTGAATATCAAAAATGGATTTTTATCGAATTTTCAAGTACGAGGATGATCAGTATTATACTGTTGATGATTGAGAACACTTATTTTTAAAGCTTCTGACACCTATATATTTTTGTATTGCTCGATGGCAAGAAATAAAAATATCATGATGCTGTAGAAGAGTTAGCTTCGTCTCATTGAATCACTTTCAACTCTCTGAATGATACGAACGAACCTGTCACATAAACCAGAAACATATCCTTGAACCATCATCGGGAAGAAATGAAGATGATTAAGATTAGTTCAATGATAGAATAACAGTTTTTTGCACAGGGTAAAACATTGAAAATGACGAACTAGAATACGTCATTTATAGAGTAATTTATTTCGTTTCATAGTGACGGACAGTTTTCGATCTGATGCAAATTTCTTACGCGAACACTTTTATGACATTTTTGATAGACGCTATAGCTTTGAGTTAAAGGCACAATTGCGAAATCGTGTTATGTTTATGAAAAAATATACTTCTTCACCCTGAATACTCTATTCCAGAAAGAAAACAAACAATCGCTTTTTAGACAAGTGGATAAAGAGCTGATGTAGCAATTCCACATTGATTTTGTTTGTTTCGACTCATTAGAATATAACCTTGCATTCCCCAACTAGTACCCCATGAATTTTTAACAATATAGTAATCTGTTGAATTCAACGATCCGTATCCAACAGCTAAAACGGCATGGTCCAGTCTCTTTGTTGAGCAATTTGGTTCATCGTAGACGCCTCTCGAATAAAATTGAAATGAACCTTGTGAAGCATCAATGGAAACTGCGATTGGACCAACTGCAGCAATGGCAGCTGTAAGATCCGTTTCATTGTGCTTTTGTATACGAGTATAACCCTATAACGAATGAACAAAAACAGAATCATCATTTCTATTTACTTAAAAACAGATGCGTACTGTAATTGTAGCACCGACATCTTTTTTGTGAAATTGACACATTTCTCGTTGAGCCATATATGGATAAGTCTGTTCAGTATCAATTCCATGATGCATTTTAATGTAGTCATAGGCGAGATCTTGGTTACCACCATTGCATCCAAAGTTGAGCCATGAGCAATCGACTAAGTTTTGTTCGGAGAGCGGAACGAGTTTTGATGTTTTTGCAAAATGTTGTCCTTCAAGTGCACCAGTTGTTGAAAAAGCCCAACATGAACCACATTGACCTTGGTCTTTTACATATGTTACATAGCCTTTGGTACGCCAATCTATATTGTTGAATGGAAGACACCGTAGAATAATTTAAGAAAAGAGACTTGACCTACCAATGCTATCTGGAAGAACGAAATCTGCTGGTGCCGTAAATGTTTGATAATTGTCTTGATTGACTTCGTCCTTTGCACTCTTTTTAAATCCATTCATTTGTTTTCGAAATTCCTCATTTGTCTTTAAGAAAGAATTCTATAAAACATAAGAACTTCTTTCAATGATTTTACCATATCACCAAATCGATTCATTTGGAGTGTATAACTATGAAGACCAAGATCGGCTTCCAGATTGTGTTGTTGAATCAAAGCAACATTTCTTTCCCATATCTGTCGACTATTTATACAATAGAATTTTTTGAGAAAAATTACAAATTCAACAAACCGATGCAACTCTTCTTCGTTGGACGAATATCTTCTTTCAAAAGCACGTTTGAATAAAGACCAAGATTCGTTCGACGCTGGGAAGCAATGTGCACTTATAAGAACGGCACACAAAAGAATTAAAGATCTCATTGTCTTATACACTTCGTCGTGTGATTGAAAAACGTGTGAGGCCGATTGTGATATTGATAATGGCTAACAACAATTATATACAAAACTTTTTCCCTGCGTCGTCAGATGTTCGAGATAAAACCATCTCAGCGACTTCATTTTATGTATTGATAAAAGATTTTCGCTTTTGCTTTGTCATGATGAGAACACCGAGGGATAATGGACATATGGTGACCTTCAGCGATCAACTTCGCAAATTAGAAAGATTGACGCAAATAAATCAGAGAAACACGCGAGGTGTTCTATAAATAACATTCCCATGAGAAGCTTTAATATCTTTATTTTGTTATCAACAACAACAAAAAAGATTGAAAATCTCATCAATAATTGGTTCTTCAAAAAGGCCTGGATGATTGCGCTTTAAACGATCTCTGTTTGTCAAAGTTTCGTCTACACTGTCCGACTGACTGTCATGACACGAGGAGATTGTCAAACCTCATTGGATGACTGAGAAAAGTATGACATATTCAAGATGGTGCTAATAGACATGGAAAATTTCACACGAAAGATATTCAAATTTCCCCGGCAATTGAAAAAAGAATTTTTTTTCACAAGTGAATTTGAATAGATATTTTTCGAAAGAGAAATTTCCATCGTATCGACCTACTAAATGGCATCGGAACAGGTGAGCTGAACGTACATGGAGAAAATGTTTGTTTACCTTCACACGTTCTCGTGTGCTGCCATTAATCCTGAATAGTTTTGATTGATTGAAAAACAATGGAAAAAGAAAATTTTCTCAGCAAAACATTCGATCGCTTAACATGAAAATTTCAGATTTGTATAATCTGTCGAGGATTATCTCATGATTACTCGAAAGCCGGATATATTTATTTTCTCCGTTGCTCGAACGGTAACTTTCAAAATATGGTAACATGATCTGATTACCTGTCATAGTTACTTTCACAACATCGAATCAAGAGTTTAGATGTTTATCGAAGTTTTGAAATAGGATACTGTGTGATTTTTGTTACACATCTAAATTTTCATTGTTTTTATCGATTTCTCTGTTTGAATTCTAGAAACGATGGCTGCACAAGGCATTGGGGAGAAGTTGGCGTCTTCTGTTCCTCAAGCACTCGGCGCTCGAGAATTTATGATTGAACGCTTGATTCTCGTAAGTATTGTCTGCAAGTATACGGTTTTGGTATTCGCACTGCTTGTATAGAGAGATAATACACGCGAATTATTACGTGAAAATGGTCGGGAAGATGAATTCGAAAGTGATTTACTTGATTTAACTGAATGCACGTGTGGCATGGATACGTATGATCCTGCGAAGTGCAAATGTCGAGCTCGCGAAGGAATCATGCTTCTTGCACAATTCTATTATGATACGGAACAGTACCACAAAGCGTGGAAATGGTATTCAAAAATTAAGGATGTCGATCTACGTGGTATGTCACTGTTTGATTGTACATTTCCTTCGAATGTTTTTTCTTTATATTTAGCCATGTATCAACTGGCTACAATGGGTTTTGATGAACAAGGACCGCCTGGATTCACCCCGGTTCGTTCAGAATTGATTTACAACGGTAAAAATATGATGATTCTCTGCTAGGATGATGCGTATCAAATGATGGTCGAAATCGCAGCAAAAGGCAAAGATCCTAACTGCTTTGTTGTACCATATGCTGAATTTCACATTGGCAAAGCTTTCTTTCAAGGCTTCGGTGTTGCACATTCCGAAGATAAAGCTGAACAGTAATAACATTCACACTTTCCGAAATCTTTTCAACTTATCTATTGTAGTTGGTGGCTATTAGCAGCCAATGGCGATGGACATGATCCAGTTGTAGAAGCTCAAACCGCTCTCGCGTTTTACTATTCACGCAAAAGTTCATTTGTGTATGATTTAAAGAAAGCTTGGTATTGGCATAATCAAGCAGCACAGCGTGGTTCGCTTGAAAGTCTTGGTAATATCGAGATGATATCTATTACAAATATGAAAGGTAATTAAATATGAAATTTCAGGTGCTGTAGGTGCGATGAGTTTATTTGGTGTTGGTACAACGAAAAATATTAATCAAGCTATTGATTATCTCCGTCAAGCATCAGAACGAGGCAATATCTATGTAGGTGAATGACTCGTGAATATTATTCTCACAAGATAACGCATTCTTATCGATAGGCTATGGGACTACTTGTTTATGCATATTACAATCGAAAACTATATACAAAAGCAACTGATTTAGCGAAACGGTGAGTAGAAATCAACAGATGTTTTATCAGAATAGATTTTCTCATATATTCAGAGTAGCTGCGTTGGATAATATTGATGAGTTATCTCGAGTATCTTGTTGCTTACCACAATATATTCGAAAAGGTATTGCTATCGCCATATTTATTCTCGGCAGATGCCTCGAACTTGGATTTGGAGTAAAAAAAGATACAGAACAATCTGCGTTAATGTATAAAAAAGTAAAACTAACGGAAATACTTTTAGCTGAATTGTTCAAAGTTTTACTCCTAGTGCTTCCAATACGATCCAGATGCTTGTCAACTATTACAAGATTATTTAACACACGAAAAGATTTGATTATGGACCGTTTAATTTTCAAAAAAAAAGGAGAATAAACGAATTACTCTTTTGAGATTAACATTTCTTTCACACAAACTTCAGGAAACAATCTTCTTGCTAATCATATGAGACAGTCTATTCTTTTCCCACTGTGTATGTAAGAATTCTGATAAGCTGTAGTCATTCTCATCCATCAGACTATCAGCAGTATATCAATTTTCATATTGAGATGCAATATGTCAATGAGATTTAGATAACAAACAATCGCTAGTTTAGAGAAATAGAAAAAGATCAACATTTACTTTCACGTTATCGTTTGATGTTGTAAGAAAAATGATTCAAACGATGCGTTTCGTGAGAATAAGAGTTGTATGACCTACCAGAATGGTCTCACTAATGCGTTTGATGATTATTCGTAAATTCACCTGTTGATACTCTCATAAATCACTATCTATTTCGTAATATTTATAGATTTAGTTGCAAAACAGTATCTCATACAGTATTAATCATTGATAATAAAAATAAAAATGAAGGCTAGAATATGCACTCAGAATCTATACTAAATAATAGTCTTATCAAAATTTGATGTCACACCATACAGACAAATATTCTTTCTAATAAGATATCTATTTTCAAAGACGTTTAGAACAATTTTTATTCTTTCAAATCAAATAGATAAATTTTTTCGATCTACAACGGAAGTAATCATTGATAATCTGTTCCTTTCGTAAGGAAAGATCATGATATTTATCGATGATATTCCTCAACGGCGAAGAAATGATAAATGATACGGCATATCGATCAAGTCGTTCAAATGATATACCATGAACAATATCTATACGGAATGTTTCTTTTGTACAAACTATGGCAGATTTCTTCAAAAAACATTCTCCTACGCTGATTCATAATACAAGTTTATCAAATCATCATTTTTATCATTGTCGTGAAGACAATATGGAATATGTAGGTGTTGGAACACAAAATGGTAATGTGGAAAGTCAAACAGCTGCTCGATTTCTAAACTATTTAAGACCTGTGTTAATCCGGTACTAAGTGATAAGTTATTCAAAGTTATCTCCGAGATATAAAGTGTATTGAAGAAGGAATGTTATTTGCAAGTCACGTCATTGTTTTCATGTGCTTTGTTGCATATGCAACATCACAAACTTATACGGCAGTAGGCTTGACCGATTGCGGTATGTACCCAGACTTACCTGAGATTCGATTCGATCTTAGATTTCATTTGATTAGGATCAAAAAATGTTCAAATCAATCGATTAACATTTTTACCCATGCCTGTTATTCAACCTGGTGAAGGTACACTGTCATTTGCTGCTTCAACTACTGAATTTATCAAAGGTGTTATCAAGGCTGATTTGAAAATCGTACGTACAGTCAGTGGTATTAAATTACCAATCAGTTGCTACATTGTCGAAGGTGAAAAAGTTGGCTCATGGTATAGAATAGATTACAGTTAACTGATTTCATTGAATTTTCATATTCCATAGTTCATATCCCGATTTATGCGCATTAATGAAACGTCTTGCTCCTATGGAAAACGGATGTCCAGCTAATCTTCTTGAACATAACATCGATTGCGAATGTCCAGTAGATATCACCACAAAAAATATTGACATTGAAATTGACGTTACAATTCCTAAAGCACCAGAGTAAAGAGTTTTCTTTCTTAGGTTTACAATTGATTAAATTCTGACTCTATTTATTTTGCAGAGCTGCCTCATGGTTAAGTGTTGGTGACTTCGATGTTAACATTAAAGCTACCGTTGGTACCATCTATGCTTGTTACGACATTAAATTCTCTGTTAAACCAAAAAAGAATTAATTAGAAAAAAAACTGAACATAATATTTTCAGTCTTTCCGTAATTGTTTGTGTGTGTGAAATGACGAGAAATGAACCATTCATTGTCTTGTGTGAAAGGAACTAATCGAAGGAATAAAATCAAGGCATGTAATAAATGAACCCTTTTTGTTACGCGGTATGTCTTTCGAGTCTTTCATGCGATTATTAATGAGTGAAGAAAGACGAACGTATATTAATGATGATTACTCTCTCATATTCGTCATTCTGTATTGGTTGAAAAGAAAAGACACGAGACTGTAGTAGTTGGTGTTTGGGGAATGATAAAAACATACATATCTGTCTGTCGAGCTTCAGATGATACATATACAGAACGAAGAAATAAATAAAGGAAAAGAAAGCGATGGGAGAGGAGGAAAAAAGAAGGAGATAAACGACAGTTTATGTGCTTCGATCGCACCGCGCTTTTGCATACGTATAAGAAGAAAAAAAAGACTCATTCGTTTCGTTATTCGACGGTATACTCAATTGTTTTTGCACTCATTATTTATATTTGTAGATGCTCGTGTCGCATTTATATTTGTTTGCGGTTTTTCTTCTGTTTTCGCTGTCGTCTTCATACATCGTTGAAGATGATGGTCATTGGCCATGGCATAAAACGAAATATTTAACACGAGCGAACTGGACATCGGCACTTAAAGCCGATACATCCACATCGAAAGTTCGTCAACCTGTATGGATTGTTTTTTATTACTTAACTTATTGCGGTTTTTGCAAACTTGCTGAACCGGGTTGGGAAGCTGCTGCTCAATATGCGACAGGTAAAACCATGCGGAAAATATTGAATGAAAACACGTATTGTTGCATTCCAGGTTGGTCAAGATATCTCCGACTTGGCGCATATGATTGTGCTAGCGAATCATCATCTCAGAATGATATTTGCGAAGACGAAGGTTACCCGCAGTGGCGAATATTTTGTCCATTAACAAATTCCACACAATTAGCATTTAATTCAGAACGACGAAGTAGTAACACCAAACCGGAAGATGTTTTAATGTGGTCAATTAAGAAACTCAATAAAATTGCACATGTTTGTTACGGAAAAACATGGCCCGTTCGTCATGTGATTGAGTAAAAGTTGAAAAGAGCAAAATATGGATGACCTATTGAAAATTTCTTCTCCTAGACCGCAGTCAATGGATGATTTGAATCGTATAATTCCTCGAAACTACAAAAGTTTTCAATTATTCGTCTCGGACGACATTCTTCTCTATAGTCTCGTAACTATTTCACCATTTCTATTAACTTCTTCTCATGAAAATTAGTTCGCTTTGTTTTAGTATGTTTTGAATAATTCGAAAACTGTTTACAAAGAACCAATCTTTCGTTTGCACACGACAAATCCAGTCAAACCAGGTGTTAGTCTTTGGAAAGGTTCAAGAAATGAACACGGAGAAATCACACTTGAACCGTACGTAACCAAACAAGATTGTAATCGAAATTCAATCTTGTTTTTCTCTAGAATGGACTCAACACAAGCGATGAAACAATTTGTGTTAAATGTTCATAACAGTTCTCATAGTGACAAAGTTGAAAAGTAAGATTTCTTCTCGTTCTCTTGTCGTGCTGAATGGTTGTTTAGTGAGAAACCTGGCGCATTGAAACCAACGCTGACGGATGTCGACAGCACCGTTGTCTGGATGGTTAATAAAGACTTACGACGAAAGCTACCTACATTATTCGAAGATGTCAAGTCCTGGCTCAATGTCCTTCATACGGTAATAGAAAACTGTCTCAGAAAGATGAAATTCAGGTTTTCTTTCTTGTATAGTATTACCCAGGAAGTGACAATATCAAAACTTTCCTTTATGATTTAATCAATTTCATGAATGACCGTACGACATTGACAAGCAAAGAATTACAAAATTATATTAATTCTACCTCGGTAATCGTCTTATCTTAACAAGGTTTAGCTAAAGGAGATGCAACGAAAATAAGGCAGAATGAGTATTAAGAATGCTACTGTATTTGAATTGCTTTCAGTCAATGATCTGTTAAACATCTCAGTTAGACAATTGCAGCGATTGCTCAATCAAAGGGCACGATCATAAATGTTTCATCTAAACATTTTCTGATTATCCTCCAAGGAGAATATTGCTCATCTGTTTCTTTGTTCTTAATCTTAGATTATAAAACTACCAGATATCAAATTCGATCATTGTAATGGATCCGACCCAACTAAACGTGGTTATACCTGTGGATTATGGCTTCTATTTCATAGTATGACAGTTAAGCAAGCTCTACTTGCCGAGGACAATAAATGTAAGTTAATTTCGAATGAATCACAGTAAAATGTTTTTCTCTTTTCAGTACCATCCAATGCAAAACCAACCGATGTGATTGTTCCTATTCGTGAATTCGTTCGTAAATTTTTTCTTTGCGAAGAATGTGTGAAACATTTCACCAACATGACTAGCAACGCTGAACACGAAATATCTTCGTACAAAGAAAACGTTTTGTATCTTTGGCGAGGTAAGATTCATATAAATCCTTGATTGAAGGCCATTTGAAAAGTCTTTAGGTCATAACAAGGTGAATGAACGACTTCGTAATGAAGAATTATCCAGTGATCCAGCTTGGCCGAAAGTTCCATTTCCAACAAAGCAGGAATGCAATACGTGCGTTCGTCAAGTTGATGAGAACAACGATGCAACGGAATTCGATGAAAATGAAGTTTATAATTATTTAAAAGAGTATTACGACATACAGAAAACATCATCGAAGAGTAGTACAATTGTTCATGAACAATATAGTCTTATGATTTTGTTATTCTCTTTATTGACAATAGTGCGTTTTTAACAACTTGATGAATTTCATCTCTTGAAATTAGTAGTTAGTATTGAATTTGTGTTTGTCTTACTATTTTGATCAATAAATAAACGAACAAAGAGCGCAAGTTTTTCTATTAGATAAGTCTTGATCTTCCAGTGAAAACTGAGACGATTTCATTATATATGTAATCAAACAGATGTTCGTGAGAAATCCAAGATTGTTTCCCTATTTGTTTAATCTGCCTTGATGATCTAAAGTATCTCGACGAATGGCAATCGATATCTCAACTATCTTTTCCTCTATTAGACATTAAATCTAGTTTTCAATTTCATCACAATGTGTTGAATATTACGCGCCAATATATCTTCGTTATCAAGAAAGCTTTTTCATCTGAACATTCCATGTGATTCAACTTGGATGAGAATGAATACAAGTAATAGTCAACACTCAGTTGCTGATCTTTTGCCATATGGAATATCTGATAGAATGGCGACGATATTGACAAGTAAATATGAGAATGGAGAATTGAATATCGAATGAGAGTTGATTTAATGTAGAACAACATGTTAGTGATGAAGATTTGCAAATTATGGATCGAGATGACGTGGAACATTTATTCAAGAATGAATATGGATTTACTTTTCGCGACCGAAAACAGTTTTGGAATATTATACAAAAAATTGTAGAGAAAGATTAAACATTTTCTTGTTTTCTCGATATCTATTTACCTCTTCTAGCAAATATCTCAAAATACAAACAGAAAAACGGAAGAAATTGCCCATTCACCGGTATGAAATATCAAATCTTTGTATATCCAGAAAGTACAAAACTCATTTCTAGGAAAGTCTTGAACATGTCTATGGATTTACCGAAGAAGAAGAAAAAGAGGAGTCGACTGATTCCAAACAACATCAACTATCTCATTCAAATCATCTCTTCGAAAACAAAGTTACGTCTAACATCGATGATGATGATGATGATGATGATAAACACTCGAATTCCTCATCCCATCTCTCTATATCATCGGGTTATATTTTTACTTATCCAAGTATTTTACCAAGTTTTTCATCGAATATCACTCACGCACTTCAAACAAATACGATTCACAAACAATGGGCAGCATTTATCAATGAACTCGCTCGATGGGTTATGGCGATCAAGCCATGTCTTCGTGAACAACATGAATATCGAGCTATTGGACAGACTTTGTATGAAAAATATCCGAATATAGGCACAGCTGGTCCTAAACCGTGGTCATTTTTGTGTCGAAGTCTTAGCCAACGAATTCGAACTGAAAGATGGCAAAGACGTAAAGCATTAACTATGAAAAACAGAAAAGAAAAGCAAAGAAAAACACTCGATCGAAATAATCATATGACCGAGTTTGAAATCCTAATCTAATGTATTAATTCAAAATAAAAGTACGAACATTCCGTGTGGGTTCAATATTGTTTCAATCGAAAGTGAAGAATCTGATTAATTACGAGCTTCTCTTTTCAAACAACTGATCGCCTGTTTATATGTCCCTATAGACTAGGAAAAATAGTAATGTTGAATGACTGGGCAGTATAAAAGATGTTTTCAAATGTCGGATAACAAAGATACTAATCATCATTTAATCGTTTGCATCATTAGCATCAAGCAATGAAAGCAAAAATGATAACTGTAATTTTCTGTTTTCAATGATTAGCGATTGATAGATATGATTTTCCCTTCATAAAGTTCTACTTCGAAAATAAAGCGAAACACATCATTGACACACCTTACTAGTCAAATTAGCTATGAGAAAGTATTTCGGTCAGTTAAGATTGAGTATTTTCGTTTATTAGTGCTCTTCTCCTGTTATCTACACACTCATGGACTTTACTACTGTCGTTAATCACTCATGTAGCCCCGGTACGCCGATACACCTTGTTTATACGCACCACTGCACTTCCAATCATCGTCGAAGGTATATCGATTTCAATGATACTTTATTTGCATATTCGTATTTATTAATCATACAGCAGAAAATAATTCACAAAGTTAACATTGGTACATACATTCACACAGAATATGCGATTTTGTTCGAAATAGAATACTGACAATGGATTATCAGAGCTCAATCTTTTCCTACTTACTTCATCAAAGTATACCTATGTCAATGATTAACATTCTCGAAAGTAAGCTTTTTGTTTTATTTGTGATTTCGTCACCAATTCATTCAACCATATGTAGATCAACGTGTGACGAACAAAGATTTGCAAATTATGGATCGTGATGATGTCGAACACTTATTCAAAAACGAATACGGCTTTACATTCGCCGATCGAAAACGCTTCTGGAATACGATACAGAAATTAGTAGGTCGAAAGGCATCGTAAAGAGCCATCGATGATAAAAGAAAACTTCGTTTATTCTAGCGCTCGCCAAACAGAAAATGTCAGATCATTTGTATAGGCGAAAAAGAAGATGATGACGGAATACCTGTATGAAAATCATATTTCATTGCAATCATAAAATTTCCTTCATGTTTTTAAGGACGTCTATGAAGCGGTTAACACTAAACCACCAACTTATTCAGTAAGCATTGCTCCGTCTGCCTCATGCAAAGAAGATTCAGATGACGAATTTAACATAGCTGAAAATTCGTCAAGTAACCTTGTTGATACTCCGAATACTTCTATAACATCTTTATCAACTGCTGCATCGAATAATCCGACAGATTATAAATTTCAGTATCCTGTGGAACTGCCTCAATTCTCTGCAAAAGTAACTAAAGCATTAGAGTATAATACAATTCAGGATGAATGGGATACATTTATGAAAGAACTTGTTTGTTGGATACTAAATAAGAAAAAAGATTTTCTAATTAAAGCCGAATATCAAGCGATTGGACAGACAATTTATAAATGTTATCCAAGTATTGGTAAAGACGGCTATCGTCCATGGTCATATTTTTGTAGAATTTTAACAGACAAACTTCGAAAAGAAAGACGCAGACGAGGTTATCCATGTACGAAATCATGGAAACCATTATCAACCTAACGTTGGACTGAATTCTTCTCCACTAATTGTTTTTTTTTAATTAAAAATAAATGGTACATAATCGAACAATACTATTTACCAGAAAAACGCTCCTTTAGATATGTTTTAAATGTCATACTTTTACAGATAAGAAGAATAATAATAGTCTTTATTTGTTTACGGACAACGTAGGAGCGCGTACTCAGTGGTGAATAAACAATCTTTTAAGTAGAATATGTAAATAGATGAGAAGATTTGTGAGTTTATTTTGTTACATATCAAGATATGCAGCTGAGGATTCACATTAGATCAATCATTGATGTTCTCATTTAAATAAATTCTCTTTTCTCATCATCTAATTCCATTAGAACGAGAGATATTCAGCTCTATCAATGTAATACTAGATGATTACATTAGATAGAAGTTAATGTATTTAGTAGAAAATACTCTATTTGCATACACTAAATAGTAGTTCTGTTGTAGAGATATGTCCTTTTGGAGAGCATTCGACCTTGTCGCATTCTCAACGAGGAATTGTTTGGGAAAAATAAAGATAAATGACATATCAATAGGTAAGTCGATTTGCATGTATTTTGGATTGTTAATGCTGAATAGTTCTTTCGCTGGTTGAGTACAAATCAATCGGAGTTGTGTAATGGTAATGGCCCGTAAAGCAGACGAGAAGCCATCTGTTTTTGATCGAAAAGATATGAGAAGTTCTTTAGTAGAAAGCTGGATGACAGATATATTTCAAACAAATCAACTGACATACCGAAACATTCGAATTCAATTAGACGTGACAAAGTACTGCATGGTACGAAGAAAGTGCAAAAAACTTTCTCCCTGCTGACTAAAAACGTGTATATATTGTCGGTTCTTCATTATAGGATTGTTTACTCTAATGAGGAGATATTAACGGAATATTTTATTCAAAATCCAGGACTATCCGATGTCCCCTAATATACTGCAGATTTCAATCGGTTATTTCGGTAGAGAAGAAGTTCTCTCACTAGATTTATCCTATTTATTTTTGTTTATCATGCTAAAATAAGATTTGAATAGCTAACAAATGAATAATAATATGTCCGATGTTTAATAGCGATGCGCATCGACGTACATGTACGTGTATATATGATTAACGATTCTCTCCAGATGTACGAGTTTGTCTTCTTGTTTTGTGTTTTAATAAATAGGAACGACATGTACCTACAAGACTTTCTAAATCGCAGGAACGTGAAAGGTATTGAAGAATGTTGGCGAAGTAATTCATGATATTTTTCTCTAGTAAAGTTATATGACCGTAATTAATGCAGAAATATGAGTATATTGGAAGAGAAATATTTGTTTTTTTGTTGATTGTATGGCAATGTAGAGATAAGAAAAGGAACATCAAATCAGGCGAAAATAATGAGCAAGAAATGATTAGATCGCGTATGGTATTTACGTCATCATAGCATTTGGAGTATCAAATAGTTATAATTCGTTCGAATTCCTATAAGAATAAATAATAAGAGAAATGAAGTGTTTTTCATGATTTTATTCATAAGATTTTAATAATTTCATGGTGAATAATCACTTTTGGTCTGCATATATTATCTGAATGGCGAGACGTTTTCTTTACAAAGGATACTAACTGGAATTTTATGATATCATATGATCAACAGACAAACAAACGCGATTAATTTAGTGTGTTTCGCCCTTCGGTTAGTGAAATTATTGAAGATCCTAGATTACTTTCTCATGTCATTCCACAGGAGAAACATGTTTCGTAATATTAGTCTAGGAAACAATAGTAGACATTATTTATTTGTCCTCTGAGAGATTTCATATATATATCAACGTCTGTGCGTAGTTGTTCTTATCGTTTGATGATTATTTTTTAGCAATACGACTATTGTCTTGTACTTCTCATGTTGTTATTGTTATTCTTAGTATCTTATCAACTGAGAAAAAAACAAATGTAAGTTGAAATTATGTAGCCTTCATATATATTGTCTTTTTTCGGGTTCTTTAATAGGCAACATACATCTGTCAGTCGATCTACTGGAATGCGAGATGGATGTCAATACAGTTTATGAGTGGGTTGTGTTGGAGAATATCCGAAGGTTATATTCGTTGATAAACGAGCCATATTCAACAAAATCGAGCGACGAAATAATACATATGTGTATGAAGAGAAGTCAAAACGGAATAGAGAGATCATCTGATGAAGTCTAAGAACATGAGTCATGATCTAATAGGATCATCAACATGAAGGAACTTGTATCTACTGACAAGATTTAATATTAGATAATTATTCTTTCTACGCGTAGCGTATGAAATGTCACAAGTAGTTTGAGAGGTTTTAATCTCGATTGCGAATCATTGTTGCGTGTATTCAACCTTGGAACTGAGAGAGAAACGTCGCATCTGTTTTAATAAACGATCAAATTATCTTTTTACGAGAGATAGTCGAAGAACTTGTCTTATCATCGTCTATTTCGGTTATTCGCTAGAACGAACATTTCGGTTTTTCTTCAGGGACATTTGTCATCCATTCTTTTTTATTGGATTTGTATAACAGATACAAACATTTTGATTATACGAGAGGACGAGAAGAAGAAGAAGAGAAAAGCAGATCCATTGAGCATGATGAAATTAGGTGGTTTTTATTTAACCTTCGATTGATCGTGAAGAGAAATAGAAGAATAGATAGGTGCTTGGTTATAGTCATTAATAAACATCCGCAATCTGATAAAAATTGTCAAATGTCTACATCAATGTGTGTACTAACGGCAATGAACCGGTTTTTCTTTCTTTATCCTTCATGATTAGGACTATTAGTGGCTTGTGAGATATAATCGTACATATACGCAAACAGGCATAGAAAGAAAGAATCAAAGAGGAAGAGAGAGAGAGAGCGCATATGAGAAAAAACCTCTCTAACGCTATGCAGGCTTTGCCTGTTCTATCTTCGTTTACAACATTGAACAGTAACACATACATCATCGAAGTCGCCTTCAGAACCGAGACAAGGTAGCAGCAGACAATAGACATTTTTTAATGAAACAGAGATGGACATAGCGCACAAAAAGACGAGAAGAAAGAAACGAGGAATGTCATTGTACGGATCAACCTTGATACAAGGTTATTAGTGGCATTCATTCCGTTTGAATATATATCACTATCTATTCTTTCACATGGAAACTGTCAGTGAAAGGAATGGAACTGACGAAGAATGATGATAGTGACACGCCAGACAAAATAAATTCGTGCCGCTGTCGAGACGAATCGATCATCATCCTGTCATTAACTCTGTAAGTAACTCGACGAAAGAGAACTCTCCATATGAATGACAATATCAGGTATGTTAAAAATCCATTTCCACACTCGATTGACTAGATAGAAATGAATAGATCGATTTTTGATATCATTATGCTTTCTTCGTTCTACTTTATCATATCTTAACTTATGATAGATATAACTAATCAAATCGTCAAAAAGAAACCTTTCTTTTTGCTTTTTTGACAACGATGATATGTAGGTTTTTAATGATAAGGAGGACAGAAATGAGGTAATCGTTATATAAACGAAAGTCCAATAAATTATCATATTAGAAAGGATTCACTTGGACAACATTGAATTTGTGTCGAATGCCTCGAGCTAGCTCATCAAATGCATCAGAAGTCCTTCTCTTCATATATAATTGTATTTCTCTTACTTCAAACAAGAAATTGCGGAAGTATCTTCACTTTCTCTGTCTTTGTCTCTCTCTCTCTCTCGTACTGTGATTGCATCTGTAATAGTTCGACACGTCATCATCATATTATCATTGTCATGTAAAGTTTCGTTTGTTCATTTAACAATCTATTGTGACACATCATCAAATAGTTCATCTACTTCTTCTGCTGTTGTTGTTGTTGTTGTTAGTAGAAGAGATGTTCGTACGCATTTGTATATACGATCAATTAGGTAATACGATCATATCCGATCGTATGTGTGTCTCCATTCATTCATTCATTTACTCCTTGTTGCTCATATTATTGTTATGATACTTCTTTGATGTTATGTTACTCAAATCTTCGATTCACATTATTTTCTCGTATGTCGAAAGAAAACGATTGATGTTCGCATAGATGTAACCATACTGATGAGGAAAAGCAAAGACAATTGATTAACGAGTGAGAGACATTGACTAATGCTTGATGACGATGAGCTGTGATTTTTCTCTCAATAAAAAAAACATGTTCATCATTTACTCCAGATTGTCGATGTCATTTCATAATCATGCATGCCCGTTAGTCACATCTTGAACAATATTGTGAACACATGTATTCATTGATGAGTAAAAGAGAAAACAGATTATCCCTCTTACATCAAGAGATATCTCCATATTCCGAGAACTGCTGAGAGACCTTCTTCATCATTTTTCTTTCTCAATGCAGATGATCAAGCTACACGCAAATCGTTCGTTTGTTCAATGGAATAGAAACGATTTCTTCGCATCAATCCATTGAGAAGATCCAATCAAGAACTAATCAGAAGGAGATTATAATCCTAGTCAGTAATAATAGACATACATGAATTTTCTCGATCAATATTGTTTGTTTGCTTTTCCTAAATAGTAGTGTGTCTGATGCATACATCATTTCTCTTCTCATCATATACGTTCTTCTCTTGATTTCTTCTCGAGATACTTTTCATAGCCATAAACAGATGTTTTCAGCTATAGTAATCATAGACGAAAGATTTTTGACATTCTTTTCTACGATCTCAATTAGTTCGAGTTTTTCTTCTCTGTACGTTATCCTAATCTAAACTAAATCTTTCAATCAACGATAAAATGTCATACTGATGCACAAAAAAGACGAACAATCTCGATCAATTTATGTCCGACATTTTCATTGTTACAATGATCAATTCATTCAATGACTTCTTTATTACATAAACGAAGTAAGTTGTTCGGAGAACGTCAGATCGTTTAGTTTCTATTTTTACCAACTAACTCCGTTGTAATTGTTTTCTTAAACGCTTTCGACAGATAGTTGGCGTTGATCAAAATCAAACGAGTTATCTGGAAGAAAATAAGAGACATCTTTCCTCCTGGGAAATCAAATAATTTATTAAATCGTTAAATGAACATCTTCTATCTGAGATTTGCAATTCATCAGTCTGTCTATCGACGACATAACTTGATAGGAGGACTTTTTCTTTTGTTGATATTATTTAATGTCTCAAGGTGGTCTTCTTTTCAATGGTGAAACCAATTTAAAGAACATTTTTCGTCGTTAATATGATTAGTCTGCATGCCGTTTGTTCGACTACGGCCATTTCTTACGAAGGACATTCCAATCGGCAACTTTTCAAAGTCTAGCTTTGTATGACTAGTCAAACATGTATATGTCTTTGTCTCGGTATGTCATTGTTGGTAAGACGATGCGTTCAGAGACAAATAAGGATATTAAAAATGTATACAGCATATTTCATAGAGGAAATATGAGTATTTAATACGCTTAGATAAACTTTCCTTGTGCATAAGATCTGCCAAATAGATAGAGTTGCTGGTCGAGTTAAGCAAAATAAAATGTACTTATCTTTACGGGTGTTTGCGTTGACAAGAAAGGATGATAATAGTGTCGTTTTGCGCCTAAGACTAAGAATATTTCTTAGGTTATTGTTGTTAGTTTTCAACGTATATTTTCTTCATCAGTTAATTTACATATTATTCATCCATCAATGAATATTTTTCTCTTTAGCGATCTCGTCGAAAGAGAATTACGAGAAAATCATAGTTGTATCTGAATAAATACTAATGCCTTTGAAATATTGATCAAAGAACTTCGAGTTTAACTTTGAATCGTCATCAATCAAAAGAAGATCCCACATAAATAAGAAATTAGTAGGTCGCTTAGTTCAATACTTATTCGATTAATTGCGCGCAAAGGTATTTGTATAAAATTATCACGACGTTTTTTCAATCATTTTGACGATGATAAAAATCTACCGAACATATTTCGTGATCGATCTTAAACGTTGTCTATTCATTCCTTGTTTTTCTTTCCTTTCTATACTGATAGTATCTCTCCGCGACGACTTCACAAAATAGTGCAGTCGTTTTTGCTTGATATTTCCTTAGAGAAAATATCAGTGTGATTCTTCAGGTGGTTATCTAAAAGATAAATTAATAAAGTGAGAAAATAATTACATTTCTTCGCTAGCCAATGGTAATATATGGAGAGAGAGAGAGAGAGAGAGAGAGAGAGAGAGAGAGAGAGAGAGAGAGAAAGAAAGGAGATGGATATAAACATCGCGACCTAACTTCGCTGGGCTTTTTGTCAAGAGGAGAGAAAAGTCGAAATCAAATGTATATAAACAGAATAGATAAATATTGTGTTGGAGATAATTGCAGGTGAATAACTTATCGAAATTGATTAGCATGACACGAGTAAAGCGTGAGGATAAGAAGAAGAAAGAAAAGAAATATCTAGATATAAAATTATTATTATACGTCTATACAAAAAGAAGACGAGAGAATGCGCATTATATGAAGTAATGTATTTTTCTTTCCGTTTTGGTTTGTATGACTCTATTCATCCCCAACTGCTGCGTTGTTTTCCATGTTTTCTAAATGGAAGAGAAAGAAAGAACGAAAGTGAAAAGAGCCAAATGATTGATCGAGCTGTATGAAATGTTTTGTGATTTTGCTCTCTTTCGCTTTCCTGACATTTCACTTGTATTTATGAGTGTTTCTCTCTCTTTCTCTCTTGTGATTATATCAATAACTCGAATTCATTCCCTTGACAAATGTCCTAATATAACTCTATACAAATCGTTTAGTTGTCCTTTCATTTAGAAATACACTTAGTGTGTTTTCCCTTCTAGATAATTGTGTCAATGAAAATCCAGTCAAATGAATGAAACGACGTGGAGCAATCTGAACCGCTCGATTGTTTTAACTTCTACCATCGTTCATCGAGGGACAACCAGTCGAATACCATATCGTGAACAAGTCCTTATTGACGCATTTAACACATATATTCAAATTGGCATTGGCAGTTTATTATTTCTATTTGGGCTGACATTCAATTGTTTAAGTTTATTATATTTTCGTGCGTCGCGCAGCTTCCGTCACACTACGTTTCAGCTCTATTTCTCGATTATTTGCATTCTTGATACTGTTCGATTATTCGAATTCTTCATTTTTGTCCTTTTCGACAAAGGTTATCTTCGAGTAACCCTGCAATTATGTCGATGGGTATTCTTTACGATCATGTTTACAGGACAGGTAACTGTCGCATATCTATAGACCAATAATGAGAAAGAAACAAAAGACATAGCTTTGTTGTTGTGAGTACGAAAAAGAAAATAGACAGGGGGTTACAATTATATGTAATTAAAATATGATTTTCCTCTCGAAATAGTTCTTCTCTTAGCTGAAAAACTCGTCAAAAGGAATAATTGCTATCTAAAAAGTGTAAAAAAGAGCTATTCATGCATTTAAGATTTCAAAGTCAGGACTCATTCTTTTTGATGAAATAGAACTGAATAAATTTCTATGTAATATATAATTTGACAAAGATCAGGTAGAAATCTAATCTATTCGACAATTATACATTATTAGTTTGATATTTTAGGCGAGTATATGGCTAACAGTTGCATTAGCTGTTGAAAAATGTATTATTATTTGGTTTCCTATCAAAGGTCGTCTGCGTTTCACCACTCTGATCTCAAAAATCGTCTTAGTCGTTGTTTTACTGCTTGTCCTTTTTGCTAATGTTATTTATTTATTACCAACTTTCTTCTTACATGCCTATGCGAATGTGTCAATTCATACATTCATGTGTTTATGGCAAACGAATGCTCAGTCATCAAAAACGAAGCTTGATCAATGGAAAAAACATTATTTCACGTTCAATACCATATTTTTTCATTCGATAATTCCTTCTATTCTCTTACTTATCATAAATTGGTTGATTCTGTATAGTTTATCACGACAACGTAGTGTTCTATCCAAAATTGGATCAATTGATGCACGAAATGTAATCAAACGAGAAAAACAATTCAAAGAGAAAACGATTCAACTCGTTCTTTCATCATTTTTTGTTATTTTTACCATATCTCCAAGATATATTCTCACTATGGTCAATGCATTTGCCACGAATATTAGTAAAACACCTTTAATGCCTCTATACATTTACGTTAACTTGAACACCGTCTTCCGTGTATTAGAAATGAGCAACTATTCGTTAAATTTGATGTTTGCTATTATGAGGTAAGGGAAAATCGATGTATTTTGTTTAGTTTTGTGATTCATGTCTGACTTTTTCCAGCGGTCGAACATCGCGACGAGAAATACGTAAACTACTAGGGGAATGTTTCTTTTGGCGATTTCAACGAACAAGATCATGTCGTCAAGGCTCGAAATTTCAAACAAATTCATTTTTATACGATGATGAGGATGAAACCGAACATTCAATCGCAACGACAGCAGCATCGCCTTACTGTGGTTTGGGCATTCATTCACAAAATCGTTCAAATCATTTAGCTCAACAGAACAGCAGTATTAATTACTCAATTAATCCCTTGCGCAAACCGACGTTTTTTACCTGTTGTGGTTTTACCATTAATCTCTCCACAAAACATTCATTGTGTTCATCGAATGTCGATTTAACATCGCGTCGTTCAACCGTATGTAAATCAGCAACTAACACAGTTATTAACAATAACAATACTTACAATTCTCCTCGAAAATCTCGTACGTGTTCGCATTCACCAAGATCGTCCACAACATTTGAACGACGTCTTCATCGACAGCACACAGTCTGTTATACACCCAGTATCGACAACAATCGATCGATAATTCGACCACGTTCGGCAACTATTGTACATTGTTTTCGTCACTTACCATCATCAACATTGACAGCAATTGTCAATCCATCTTTATCCTTAAACACCGATTCACCCTCAATACGTCGAACAGTATCAAAAACTTCGGAATTTTCGACGAGACGCAACTCGGATTTCCCCTTGTCAACGACCGATGTGCGCAATGTAAAGATAACCTTAACAAAAGATATAAAAGAATCTCCTGAATTTGTACAAAACTCTATCGAGGAAGAACAATCGCCAGCATATATTGTTGAGACATGTTAGCTGTCTGTTATTTATACACGTCTATCATTCTTGTATTTTTTACCGTGTTTTTTTTTCTTCTTGTCTCTTTCCTTCTTTTTTTCGTTCATGTGTACACTTTCCGAACAGTGACTAAATGATGATCTCGATGATATGAACAAAACATGACTACTGATATACAGAATATGACATCCCGAGGATAAAACTTATGTCAATTGTTTCGTTTTGCTCGCAAATCGATAAATTTCAATATCAATCCCATGCTATCGTTCTTATTGTGCTAACTACGAACGAATCAGCTTTCTCCGGTGATATTTAATTCATTTTGTCGAAGTATTTACCTCATTAATTGTGAATAATTATCGTATATTTATACTCATCGATCACAAAGAGAGAGAATGATTTGCTTCACCAACCGGTTAGTATTACCTTTCATCCATCGAAACAACCATTCATATTTTCCAACGCAGAAAGATCAACCATTGTTTCTGATGAATAAGACAAGTCACGAATATGTTTTACTTTAATTTATACAAAAAAAAAACAGAAAACAATACACACATTGATTCAGGTTAAAACTATTGAGAATAAAATACTAAGAGAAAACCAATTAAGAACGTTTCTTGAACATTTCGATGAAATCTTTTCTTCAATGATTGTCACTTGACGTAGATAATCTAAATTCGCCAATGAGGAATAATTTCGTCGAGCAGCGATTCGATGTCGAACTTGATTCGATCGGATTGTCGATGTACGTCGATGAAAATGCTTATACATTGATCGTGTTGAAGTCTCCCATCGCACTATAATTGTTTTCGTAGTTTCACTTAATTTCGGTTCTTCAATCAGATCTGCAATACAGTATGCTTGATCGAACTTTTCAATTCGTTCTAAATTGATTTCACAATATCCATGTTCGATTGACATTTGAAAATACACTGATCGAAAGAGATCTTTCAGTCGATTGGAATTATCTTTTTGACAATGAGATTGTAGGTGTTGATTTAAGCAGCATAAAGTTTCACGAATTTTCATACAACGAAATGCCTGATCATCGCAATACGTCGGATCGCAGAGTAAATGTTTATGACATTCTGTCGGCAGACGATACGTTTGCTGATTAGTGAAGATATTCGAGCAATAGGTTTCATTTGATGATAAATGCTGATCAAGTTCAATTAAATAATACGAATTCGACGGCAGACCAGAGATGAGCGGAAAGAATAGAATGAAGAGAAGATTTTCTCTAATCATCTTTTCGAGATCTAAAGATACACAAATGATACAAAACGAAGCAATTAGAAAGAAAATTTATATGATAGTGGACACGCCTATGAGGGCCGGCTTGTCATCATACGTTGCAGCTTGAACTCTCATTACTTTCTCATTCTCTGTTCGATGTAAAGATAAATCGTTACAACATAGATGACAAGAAATGAACAGATGTTTGCAGGCATGTATTCTTGAAGAGAATACGAAGAGAAAGGCTAACGAGACAAAAATCTCTAATTCACACCTTGGTCAACGCGAAATATTCTTCTAGTAGACAAGAAGAAAGTAGATGATTGAACATGAGTTCGACTACCTAATTGTCCGCATCGAATATGACATTTAATGACATTCGGACGCAAACGATCGTTGTCGTTGAACTTATATAGTTCTTTTTTTGTCTCTTGTGAATAGAACTCACTTATGCATGATTGCGAAATCGGCAACATCTTAATTATATTATGTATGTTAACGTACAACATCGATCTGAATTAGTCAATCGATGGAAGAAAAAATACTTTGACTCAATTTCTAGTCAACAAGTTCCTGTCATAAATATCTTATACTGACTTGCTGGTAAAGATCAAGATAGAAAGCAAAAAAGTCATCGATTTCGCTTGAAATATCCTATTGATGAACAATTTCTTGGTTAGACAAAAGCAACTAATCGATACTGTCTCAGACATATTTGATTAGATGTTTAACGAAGGAGAATACAGACTTAATTAAGAAAACAACAAAAAAAGACTGGACTGACCTATTATCCGATTGAGTAAGAACTAAACATGATTCAATCAAGTTTTCAAATAAACACATCAGTCGACTGAATTCGTCCATATCGGGAACTATTTTTACTTACAACTTGTTTTTGTGTCGTATGTTGAAAAAAGATGTATGAATTCTTCACTCCCTCTCGTATGATCGTGCGGTTAACAACAATAGATTTGACCGTCGTTCTCTTTTCTCCTGTTGTTTTGCTTGATAAATATTCTCAACACTCATTTGTCAAAAGAGTAAGTAAAAGAAAATGACTAGACTCAACTAGTTCAATAATCATTTTGAAAATGAAAGAATGCCCGCCGGGTATATTTCGTATCGGCGAAGGACGAGTATATAATAACAATAAGAGAAGACCTCTGTGTGATATTATCACGATTTGTGCAAGCATGCATGCGTGGATGGTTATTGTATATCGAGAATGAGAGTGCTCTTTAGATATAAAAGGAAGACAGTTACCTTTCGTCTTCTTCTGCCCACTTTAGTGCACTGTTTCTATTCTTTCTTTTTCGTCTTGCTCCTCCTTCATTTCTCCAATCACTTCATTGAACAGTTGCTTTGCTCTGATGTTCTGTTTTCTTTCTTCGAACTATGAAAGTATAATGGATGATAACAGCGGGAGAAGATTGACAGTCATCCCGATGTCTGGCATTGAACCTATACATACGTGCAGAATTCACACCCTTGAAGTATATTTCTGTGTAAACGCACACATCGGAGAACGAATAAACATTGAGAGTGTGGCTAATAATTGATATCTGTCGGGTTTGTTACGTTCCTCTATGTGTTGAACAGACGTGCAATGATCATTTATCACATTTATATATATAAGCAAGCATTCGTCCCTTTGATAGATAGATAGATGTATCTCTCACTTCTTACTTGTGATCAACTTCGTAATGAGGAGTTACATACCTTATTTCACGGTGGATGTACATCCGCCCACAGTCATTTAGTTGACATGATAAAATATAATTTTGTTTGAACTAATGAAAGCAATGTTGACAAATACTAATTGCATGCAATTCTTTTACGGACTATTATAGGTGATAAAAGGTTTTGCTTTCATTATCACTGAATCAATCGAATTTTGATCTTTGATCGATGAACTACAAATGACAATAGCGATGTTTATCGGAAGAGCAAAATTTGATAATTTCATATATTCGCAATATTGCCTCTTGTTACTTCTTTCCTGAGAATCACGATTCGATCTTTTCCTGCAAGACAGATACACAGATATATAAAAAATAAGCATTGGGCCATCCTGGCGATATTATCGATAGATCAATCTTCACTAAAATAAACATGACAAGTGAAAACTTGGATAAATAAAACATATCTCTTCTTAGTAATACATAATAGAAGCGTAGAAGAAAAGTTCGTATGAAAACACCTGCTGCGTGTATCAGATATTTATGTAATAGTGCGATTGATTTCAAATCTATCCATGATTTCAACATCAGAAAATCGTCGATTGATTCTGAATATGTACCGTGTTCGACAAGACAGCAGACAGAAAGGAAATTGAATCGTTTCATTTGACCTTTTCCTAGTTGCATAATGCGCTACCAATAAACGGTTAATTATGACATAAACAGATCGTATGAACGTGGACGTTGAGTCTTTTTTTGGAACAAGAAAATTTGGTTCGTGCATATGAAGCACAATTGATTCAGGTGTTTATTGGAGAAAGAGAAAAAAACAAGCGGGGGGATGCATAATAGTGTTTTTTTTCTCTTCCATATCCAAACATCAACATAAAAAAGAAGAAAATGATAAAGTTCGACAACGGATGGTGATGGTACAAATGTCTGTGAGTGTATGATTTAACTCTGCTAATAAACTATAGAGGTACATGGAAAGAGAAGTAAACATTCGAGAAGAAACTTTTCTAGAAGAAAGAAAAAAGACAAGACTGAAGAAAGATAATGTGGTGTATGAAGAACACTGTTGGTCGATTCAGTAATGTTCTTGGAGTTCAGAGGTTTTTATCGTTCTGAAGCAAGTTTTTCAGCACGAGCTGAAACATCTTCGATACCACCAACCATATAGAAGGCACCTTCGGGTAAATGATCTAATTCACCTGTTGAAAAGAAGAAGAAGAAGAAGGCAAACTTTCGATTATTTTGGATACGGAAAAGGAATTTGTATATTTACCGTTTAATACCATCTTGAATCCTTTGATTGTTTCTTTGAGTGGTACCAATTTACCTGGTGTTCCAGTAAATACTTCAGCTACCTGAAAAAAAGAGATATAAAATGAGATTGTAAACAACGATGCTGACAAACGTCCATGAAGGGATCGAATATCTATTAGTGTTGATCTAGGAAACTATTATTCTTGCACTTTTTCCTATGTGTCTTACATATGAATAACATATAAAACACTACACAAAAGTGCCAGAGGAAATTTAGCCTTTAGACGGATTCGAACTTTGCTTTGACGCATTTTATCAACTAACCTGAAACGGTTGTGAAAGAAATCGTTGAATTTTACGTGCACGTGCTACAGTTAATTTATCATCGTCGGACAATTCATCCATACCCAAGATAGCGATGATATCTTGTAAAGATTTGTAATCCTAAAGTATGATAATATGCGATGAAGTTTTCAATAGCGAAAGAAATTTGCTCTTCGACTTTACTTGAAGTGTCTTTTGAATGCTACGTGCGACTGAATAGTGCTCTTCACCGACAATGTTTGGATCGAGAATACGTGATGTTGAATCTAATGGATCGACAGCTGGATAGATACCTAATTCAGCAATACCACGGGACAAGACAGTAGTGGCGTCCAAGTGGGCGAATGTTGTAGCTGGAGCAGGATCTGTTAAATCATCAGCAGGTACATAAATAGCCTGATTAAAGACAAACAACAGTACTAATTTTCGATGACATAATAATTTCTTAGACGTACTTGTACTGATGTGATGGAACCTTTCTTCGTTGTTGTAATACGTTCCTGCATAGTACCCATATCAGTGGCCAATGTTGGTTGATAACCGACAGCTGATGGAATACGACCCAATAAAGCTGATACCTAAATGTTCAATAGATGTTATTTGGTGATCGAAAATAATTTGTCTTACTTCCGAACCAGCTTGTGTGAATCGAAAGATATTGTCAATGAAAAGAAGTACATCTTTTCCTTCTTTATCACGGAAATTTTCAGCGACTGTTAGACCAGTTAAAGCAACACGAGCACGTGCACCGGGTGGTTCATTCATTTGTCCGTAGACAAGTGATACTTTGGAGCCTTTGCCTTTAAGATCAATAACTTTAGTTGTAATCATTTCATGATATAAATCATTTCCTTCACGTGTTCGTTCACCGACACCAGCAAAGACTGAATAACCACCATGTGATGTGGCAACATTGTAAATCAACTCCATGACCAAGACTGTTTTACCGACACCAGCACCGCCGAAAAGACCAATTTTACCACCTTTAGCGTATGGTGCTAATAAGTCGACAACTTTAATACCAGTTTCAAGAATTTGTTGTTCGACGTTCATGTCAGTAAAGGGCGGTGCGTCGGCATGAATTGGGGCAAAGTCTTCAGCATTGACTGGACCACGTTCGTCAATTGGATCGCCAATAACATTGATGATACGACCTAATGTTGCTGAACCAACGGGAATTTTGATGGGTGTACCGATATCTGTGACTGGTTGTCCACGAACAAGACCTTCAGTACCATCCATAGCAATTGTTCGAACGGTATTGTCACCTGAAGAATAAGAAGAAGAAAAAATGAATGAAGAACGAGTCGCTTTGGATGATTTTTCATACCTAAATGTTGAGCGACTTCAAGAATTAGTTTCGGAGAACGGCCATCAACTTGAAGTGCATTAAGAATGGGTGGTAGCTGTTCATCAAATTGAACATCAACGACAGCACCAATGACTGATACAACGCGACCTTTAGCGCCTTTAGCGGTTTGTTGGCCAGTTTGCGTTTGTTTGCTTGAAGTTGATTTTTGTTGTGCTGCTTGTTGAGCTGCAGCATTTCGTTTGCCAACAACTATCAAACAAAATGCAATGTGGAGAACATGTTTCATGAGAAAACAAAAGATACTCACTATGAAAATTAGCGGTGGGTTGGTAAGCTAATTTGGACCATTTGGATGCACCGATGGTATGACGTTGTTTACCAAGTACAAGTTGTGCAACACTGTTTGCCCGTCGACAGGCACATCGGATGCC